AACACAAAGTTGCTTGAAGACTTACTCAATCCCTATATCTCCCAGAGATCCTTGTAGTCAAGGACTGAGGATCTTCTCTTGGCAGGTAGAGAACTGGTCTCCAATGCCCCCATACAACTCAATGTCTATGTTTGTGGTTCAGTTCTACATTCTTTTTTTTTTTCCTTGGCTAGGCAATGGGGTTAAGTGACTTGCCCAGGGTTACACAGCTACCAAGTGTCAAGTGTCTGAGGTCGGATTTGAACTCAGGTCCTCCTGACTCCAGGGCCAGTGCTCTATCCACTGCGCCTCCAGCTGCCCCAGTTCTACGTTCCTTAGAAAAATGATTGTAAAACTCTGTTTATAATCTCTTACAATAAAGATGAAAAATACATACAATTTTTATAAAAAATAATCTGTTTGCATTGATGATGTCCTTGATGAGGGTTATTAGAAGGAGACTGGCAAGATATTTCCCACTGCAGACCATGGCTTTACCAACACAAAAATGAGTGAAAGACATACCAAACACAGTACTATTGTTTGCTAATTACAGAAAGCATTTATTTGGTACAATAAAATGCCACCATAAGTGCTCTTCTCCATCAAGATGTCTCCTAAGAATGGGTCAGAATTATGCAAGATTCCCTGAGACAGCAAAAGAGATAAACTTATTCAATGACCCTCTGAACATTAATATCAAGTAAGGCGTAAGACAAGAAGACATGAGTTCACTGAAGCTGTTTGCCCATTGTTCTAGTGAAGATCCCACCCAGAATCAGGCCTTCTAACCTATCTGTGGCTAAATTGAGCTGAATGCATCAAGCTACAGATGACTTTGGGAGCCTCCTAAAGAAAATATAAAATCACCCTCAAAGCAGGGCTATGTTGACAAATGTTTAACAATCAACTCTCATAATAATAATAGTTATTATGTTTTTTATATATACACATATATATATATATATACACACACATATACATACACATATACACATACATACAGAGGACTCAGTTTAAAGTTCAATTTTCATTATTAACATTTTCTCTATCACTTTCTTAAGTCTTGACAATCAACAGAAATAAATCAAGTCATGATTTGTAGCATTTGTCTATTTTCAAGGTACATATGCTCATACTGAAAATTTAACAACTGGCTTTCTGGAGCTGATATGAACTGGTTCCAGCACCCCAGTTCAAAAAAGATTAGTTTAACCATCCACAGAGGAAAATCCAAGTGAATGAAGAATGACTTTTGCCTAGATAAATATACATTTGAAAGGACAACCTCTGGAATTCATCCATCGGTATCTGGAACAAGCAATACAGATAGAATACAAGTTGGGCCTAGTACTGAATGAAAGGAGTGGGCTAGATTACCTCTGGAAAACTGCAGAGTCCTACTAATGACAAACTCAAAGCTTAACAGTTAAAAAAAACAAACAGACAACTAAGATCATGGCATCTGGTACCACTGCTTCTTGGCAAACAGAGGGATAAGGAAAAGAAGAAGTATCAGATTTGACATGATTGGGCTCAAAGATCACTGTAGAGGGCAACTGCAGCCATGAAATTAAAAGACGCTTGCTCCTTGGAAGGAAAGCCGTGGCAAATATGGAGAGCATCTAAAAAGCAAAAACATCACCTTGCCAACCAAGGTACATATAGTCAAAGCTTTGGTTTTTCCAGTAGCAATGTCTGGCTGTGACAGTTGGATTACAAGGAAAACTGAGCACTGCAGAACTGATGCTTTCAAATTGTGGTACTGGAGAAGACTTCTGAGAGTTCCTTGGACAGTAAGGAGATCAAACCAATCAACACTTAAAGAAATTAACTCTGACTATTCATTGGAAGGACAAATACTGAAGCTGAAATACTTTGGCCACATAGTGAGAAGACAGTCCTCATTGGAAAAGACTCTGATGCTGGGAAAGATGGAGGGCAAAAGAAGAAAGGGATGGCAGAGGATGCAGTAGGTAGTGTCATGGAAACAATGAACATGAGCTTGGACAACTTTGGAAGACAGTGGAGGACTGAAGGGCCTTGTATGATAAGGGTCACAAAGAGTTAGATACAACTTAACAATTAATGACTTCAAACTTCTCCCTGAAACAGACTCATTTTTAATAACAGGTATAAACGGGCTGCCACATAGTGGGAGAAAAAAGAAATTGTTTAAGAAGAAATTAAAAAAACTTAGGTCTCCAGATGTAAGTAAGTGCCAATGTGTGTTAGTAGAGAGGCAGTGATACAACAACCCTAAAGCTATTGTTCTGCACACAAAACAAGAAGAAACTAAAGCTATTTGTTTAGAAATTTGCAACTGTTAAAAGTTTTACATTTCAGGATCCTTGAGATTATACCTCACGTCCTGTACTGTTAACACTATAAAAAGAACTTTGAGTTTGCTTCCTTGAGACAATTCTGTCCTTGTCTGAAACATTTTACATGTAAACGTTAAACCAGAAATAACTGCTGAGATTAATCTTGGGAGTGTATAAAGACTTTTTTCTTTCTCTGACTGTATTATGTCACCATCAATCTGGGAGAACACTCTTCTTGCAGTTGCATGATATGATTATGTATGATAAATATGTGCCTCTAATGGAACTGATGCTAAACACAATGTAAAGTTGTTTTCTCCCCTCCAACAATTTAACAAAGGAGAAGAGCTATAAAGAACGTTGAAATAATGTCTTAGTTCCCTAGGGTATAAAATGTCAGTCCAAGAGGAGTCAGGGCCCTTCAGACTGGACAGATGTCTCTGCTCCTTGTGAGTCACCAAACTCAACATACTTGATGACTAGATTGGTTTCTATATGGAGATTGGGGGTAGGGTAGGGTGAATATCCAACTAAACCAGCATTGTATCTTTACTGAGCTTTCTCACCACGCTATGGCTAAATAAACCATTCGTTAATTCTTACATAACCTTTAAGTGTCTCATTTTGTTCCAGTCTCAGACCTGAAGCATCAGAATGGCCCGAGTTATGCTTGACCTACAACTGTTGATAGTTCAGTTGTATTTGAATGAGTTAATGGTTCTTGTCTCTGAAGTAGGGGAAGGATAGTTCAAAGAAGCAGACTCCTCTGAAGAAGTGAAAAGGATGATCTGATATGATGACCACAGGCAAGCCTCCAGTGGGACAGAAAGGAGGCTGAAGGGAGTTTTAGCCTAGAAGATGCTAAAGGAGATTGATATGGAAAATAAAGCCAAGGGGGACTTTCCCTGGTTATTGTTAATGGTTCTAGAAAATATGAATTGCCAGCATAAAGAAAATGAAAGTAAATGGTCCCAGTGCATTATACAACTGGAGGCAGGACTCTAAGTCTTTAAGGATCATGCCCTGAAGCAGTAGGGTAGCTGGTGAACTTAGCAATACAAATTCTCTTACTCAGTTTTTTTCCTTTTCAAAAAATTCTTTGCTATAAGGGATGGCTTTTCCAGGAGACGGAGGAGTTACAAGGGGAAATCTTTGTTACATAAAAACAAAAGATATCATTAAAAAATCTGTTAAAAATACAAGTGAATGCAGAGCTTGGCTTTGGGAGCTGGGACCAACAGACCACAGGCAAGTGGAAACCTACAAGCCAGGCTGGGAAAATGTGTTGAATCCCACTGGGATCAGGAATATAAGGAAGAGAATGGAAGTGGGAATGAACTTATCATGTTACTACCTCCACCTCCACGGTAGAGGGGGAGGAGGGGGGAGAGATGGGAGTGTATCAAAGGGTTGATAAGCCTCTTAGCACTGAGGAACTTAGGAAGTTGCTGGAGAAGTTTTGAATGACAGCCTGAGAACAATGATTAATGAGGGTATGGCCTGGAGTTTATTCTGGTGACAAGAGTTCCTTAGACTTGCAAAGGTGACAGAAGACTTACTTTTGCAAAGCCAGGTAGATCTATTTAGAGGCCCCAGATAAGGACCACATTTCATCTCTTTTTACGTGGCCAACATGGGTGTAATTCATGACAGTGTCTTATCATCCACACACAGTATGAGCTCTGTAAGTCTTAGTCAAATGGATGACTGAATGATTGAGATTGAATTTCCATTACTGTTTTATATACTATTCTATTCTCTGAACATCATGGGTCAGCTCTGTTCTTGGGTTAGGCTGCAAATTTATCGTATTTATTATAGTAACTAAAGGTAGAAATAAGTGGGCCAACAACTGGGTTGGTCATGTGGCAAGGGCAAAATCTTTCAGGAATAAAATGTCAGAATGGTATGTGTTACAACAAAGGAGAGAAAGCAAGGATTAGTAGGTAAGAGCATAGGATTTGGTGTCAGGAAGACTTAGCAGCTGTGTGACCACAGGCAAGCCACTGAATCTATCTGAGCTTCCTACAACTGTCTAAAACTTCTCTACTAAGTTATAAACAGGCCGCAATTTGAATCAGTGGAGGGAGTTTTCATGTCAACAAAAGTCACAGACATTTGATTACTGACTTATTTGTTAGAACATTATTAAAACCATTTTAAAGAGGGAAATAAAGGTGCTTTTCTATACCATTTTCATTCCCTGTAAAAAGTGCAGGTCAGCTACAAAGGCAACATTTTTTTGAAGAACCAAAGGCAGCTCATTTTTGATGATCTCTTTCTTCAAAATCCCATGTTCTTTAAGATGGTTAGTTTAGTTGTTTATAATCAACTAAAGTAAATGCCATCCTTCTTCCACCTTGAATTATATATCTTACTTTCTTGACTTTCTCTTTATTTATTTCCTAATAACTCAAGCTTCTTAGAAACATACTTTTCAGAAAGACCACATGCTTCTTCTTCCTGGCTTGTAGGAAGAATGACATTTGTTCTTCTCTAAAAGAAAAGACCACATTGACAGTTAAAAGCAGTAAAAGCATCACTCAAGTATCTTACTTAGTTTTTGCTCTGTAAGCAAAACTCTGCATCCTTCCTTTCTTAGAGAAATGAATTCAATGGGTTTTTTTTGTTGTTGTTTTTAAGGCAATTGGGATTAAGTGACTTGCCTAGGGTCACACAGCTAGTAAATGTCAAGTGTTTGGCCTGGATTTGAACTCGGGTCCTTCTGACTTCAGAGCCAGTGCTCTATCCACTGCACCACCTACCTGCCCCTGAATTCAATGTTCTTAAGAACAATGAAATGATCAAATCTATTTTGGAGAGCCCTAAGTTTACTCAACTCTAGAGAAATTAGAGATTATACACTTGGCTATTAAGCTAGATCAAACCAAAACCAAACCTGTGCTCTTACCTACTAATCCTTGCTTTCTCTCCTTTGTTGTAACAAATACCATTCTGACATTTTATTCCTGAAAGATTTTGCCCTTGCCACATGACCAACCCAGTTGTTGGCCCACTTATTTCTACCTTTAGTTACTATAATAAATATAATAAATTTGCAGCCTAACCCAAGAACAGAGCTGACCCATGATGCTCAGCATCAACAAAAAAAAGGCAAATTGGTACAAAATGATGAAAAGACAATTGAAAATGCTATTATTATTCTGATCTCTGCTTAAAAATTATATCCTTCATTAACATTTAAAACTCTAAGTAGACTGGAAAACATAAACCAAATACTTTGTCTATTATTTCCCAATGAGTTCCCATTTTCTAGTTTCTTATAAACATGGTTTTGTTAATACCAGAACCTCAGTGGATTCTTACTCAATGACATTTCTTCCTTTGAACAGGAAATGAGTCTCTGTACCACAAACCTTTGATAGGCCTGCAGAACTAAATATAGGAACTGGTCCTCCTATATGTTCATGTTTTTTTCTGGGTATATTTGGGTAGGAACTGAGTCCGTATAAAGAATATCAGTTTGGTCTCTGTGAAGAACACAGTCACAAGGGTGGCTCCCAAACACAAAGCCCCCACAATAATGTGCAGAAGCCTGGCCAGCCAACCTCTCTCACAGCACAGAAACACCTACAGGGAAAGAAAACATCATCAGTGCCAGCGGCCTGTAGCCCAACCCAAACTTCCCAACATTTCACTCCAGAAATTCCACTAGGACCATAAACAGCTCTATGCCATTAGAGAACCTGAGAGACAGCCCATATTCTAGGAGTAACTGATGGAAAAAAATAAAAATCTTGTTATCTCTAGTTTTTTATTCAAATCAATTAATAAGGATTTAATCTATTATGCCTGCAAGCCTGACATTTTATTGCATGGTCTATCACTGACAAAGTAAACATTTAGGTATAACAAAGTCCAAAACTGAGGGGGATAGGGCAAACACTTACATTGGCAGGCACCTCAAGTTAGTGCTGGAAGAAATAGGGGTATGGTCTGAGCCAGAATGTGAAAAAGGAAGGGAAGCTTACCTCTGAAATACTAGTAACCACTCCACTGAGCACAAAGACCACAATTAGAAACGGTGAAGGAAGCAGACCTGCCAGCGGCCGGTAAGGACTCTCTCTGTAGTACCTACAGATGTAGCGTATGCTTTGTGCAATTCGAATTCCCATGTTAAAACAATTGGCAAAGATGAAGCCCACGCTGCCTTGCCACTTGGTCAGGAAATAGGAGGACAACAAGAATGTGAAGGACAGAGCCAGCATGATAAAGTTGTACCTGTGAGAACGGCAAGCGAAGGAAGCTAAACGATCTACTTATATCACCTATACAAAAACACCTTAGCCTTCCTTTATTCTTTTCAAGGACAGAAAAGATCCTTTGCAAATAATTAGGCACAAGAAATTAGCACTCCTTTAAAATCACCAAGTTTCAACAATATTATGTTTTGCACATATAACACATATTACAGATACAGTAGGACAGAAAAGAATCAGGAAATATAAAATCACAATTTCCCCTAATTTTTAAACCAAAAATTAATGGTATAAGTGGAACTTTTCCATTTATTAGCGTACATAAAAACATTGGCTGAGTTCCGGTTACAAGAATGAATATGAAATTCAAACGTAATGCAAAATTCAATAAAACTGTCACAGGCACTGACAGTTTTAATCAAGGCAGAATATTTTATTTTAAAATGAGGATTCAATTTCATACTAGAAATGTAGATAATACCCTAATGAATGAATTTTCTTTGGTGCTTTCCTAACAAACACACATTCTAATCACATACACAAGGACTCACAAATTTTGTAAGAGTTAACTGGACCTGAGAGATTTTCTAGCATAATTTCTTCAATTTTACAACCTTGAAAATGGAGATATATAATGCTTTGTATTCTATCCATGTTTTACACTGTTTCTATTACCTACATGATTTTATAGGCATTTTAAGACATTAATTCCTTAAACAAGAGAAACTAAGACCCAGAGGAAATGAGCCTTACAGTAAGGCATGGTGGAACTATGAACAACCTTCTTATCCCATGGATTTCTTCTAGTCTGTAAATGCTGTCATTATAAAGTTACTTTCAGGGCTACTTCAAACATGTACTAGGTTCACATAATAAGGCGTTTGGCAGAACTGTGCCCTTCTAATGTTCGTCTCTTTTTGTGCTTTTCTTTGGCTAAATCAGACCAATACTTCATGGATCCCTGGTTGAAGGGGGAACTGAAAGGAGAGTCTCAATGATCGGCCTTTTGTCTAGACTTCTAGAAAAGGAGCTGTCAGGGCTGGAGGGGTGCTTAGAGATCACGTAGTCTAATCTGTTGATATTAAAGAAGATACCACCAAAACCCAGATAGGGAAAGGAACTTGTTCCAAGTCACAGAACAAGCTAGTGACAGGGCTGGAACTAGAACCCAATGCATGAGGCAGTTTTTTAATTAAACAACCAGCAGTTAGAAAGACCAACTTCACACTGCAGCTAATACTCAGGCCAATGGTAGTGAGATATAGCATAGCCTACTTTGACATTTTTTCCTATTAAAAGCCGTTATTTATGTTACCCGTTATAATTCCCTATCTCTCTGAAATGATGCCTTGGGAAGGCCTAAATAACATACTATTCCTTGGTATGGAATGAACAGTTTAACAAAACTCTCAGAGTCACGTCTCCCAGTAAATGGTAAAATGGATGGAACTAATAACTAACCCATGAAAGCAGAGATTAATTCCATATTATACCCTGCTCAGTTCAGAATGCTAGAGTGAGCAACTTTCAGGCTGTTCTGGTACAGCTGATAATGAAGAGTCCTGCTGTCTTCCATCAGAAGAGCAATCTACAGCTGCAGCACTTCCCAATTAGTTCCAACCAAAGCTCACCATCTATAGCCTTAAAAGCATCATAAATGCAAATGTAAAAGAAGCTATTAAAATACCACTTTCTCAATCAATGTAAAATCATTACATGGTAACAGTAATTATTGTTCTTTAAGGCTTAGTTAACATAAACAGAAAATTAATTTTTAATGCTTCTTTCTCAACACTCAAAAGAGATTAGACTTAAAATTGGGACTCAGTAGAAAAATTGAGATTAAAAATAGAAACAGTGCTTGAACAGTTGAGGGAGTTTTAACAAATTAAATGTCATTTTATGCATCTTTCAGAGTCACTATCCACCTGTATAAACTGCTTCCATTGTTCTAAATATGACAGATTGCTTAATAGATGGAACAAAAACTCATATGTATGTGTGTGTGTGTGTGTGTGTAAAATATTCTGAGAAGTCGACTTCAACAAATTTATTAAATTTGCTAAAATACTAATGTTAACTTAATTAACTAAAAAATCTTGTTATTTAGAGGACCCACTATTCCATATCCAGCTACATGTCCTACAGACATCTCAAACTGAACATATCAAAAGCATAATTCATTATCTTTCCCTCCAAACACATCTTCCAAACTTCACTATTACAGGTGAGGACATTGCCACCCTTGAAGTCATCCAGCTCCACAATCTCAGTGAATCCTGAATTTCTCACTCTCACGTGCCCCCCTGTAGCAAGTTTGTTGCCAAATACTGTTTCTATCTCTACAACATCTCTTGTATACACTATTTTCTTCTCTCCACTCATATGGTCACTATGCTAGTGTAGGCTCACATCATCTCTTCCCAGGACTATTGCACTAGCATCCTAATTGCGTCTCCCTGCCTTCAGTTCCTCCTTTTTCCAATCCATTCACCACAAAGCCACCAAAGTAATTTTCTTCAAGTGCAGGCTGGGTCATGTCATGCCCTTACTCAATAAACTCCAGTAGCTCCTTATTACCTCTACGACTGCATGTAAATTCTGCCATTTGGCATTTAAAATTCTTCCTACCTTTCTAGTCTTACATATAACTCCTTTCCACATATTCCATGCTGGCTAAGCTGATGTTCTTCACACATTATGTACCATCTAGCTCCATGCCTTTGCACAGGCTGTCCCCTACTGCCAGTAATATTCTCCTGCCACCCCACAGAATCCCTGGCTTCCTTCAAGAATGGACTTTGAACAGGGCTTTTTCCTCTAAGGTTACTTGGTCTTTTCATGTACCATGTATACAATCATACTGTTGTTGTGTCCCCCATTAGAATGTCAGTTCTTTGTGGGTTGGGACTATATCAATTAGGTCCCTGCATTCACTGTTCTTTGGATAGTGCCTGTCACATAAATAAATCATTGTTGCTGACTGACTGATGTAATACTTCAGTGGATCTGTGTGGGTAGCAGATTGCAATCCATTCATGTCTTCTCATGCTGTGCAATTTTTGACCAGGTGATTTCCATAAATTTATAGAAGATCTACTTAATGTCCTCCTGGAGGCCTTCCTTTGGGCCTTGTAATATTTTTTGGTTGCTAGTGCAACATTCAAGCTGTCCATCTATTTACTCCTCACTTGTTAATTAACTGGCCCACTTCCTTTTCTGGTTATACATTTCATAGTTTTACTTCTTTCACAAAACTTTGACAGGATATATCAACCAAGGTCAAAACCAATTTAGATTATAAATTCACTGGTAAAATGCTGTGAAGGAGGAGGACCAAAGGACAGAATCATCTCACAAAACAGCAAAAAAGCAGGGCAGGGGAAAATGAGGCTACAGAATATCTGGTGTGAAACCCAACAAGGCCTGGTCATCCCAAGAACAGTTACAGAAGAACTGAAAGGGAAAAAAAGATAAATAGAAGTGAAATGGAACAGATCTTCATTCAGCAACACTGGAACTACCACATTTGGACTTTAGTGTGTGTCTATCATATGAGGATATGGAAATGACACAAAAATGAGATTGGGAAAAGCAGCTGGACAAAACTAAATAGATGCAGACAGAAATTTAAAGGCACTCTGGAATGCACAGGAAGACATCACAAAGAAAAAACAGAACAAAAACAATGGGGAAAAAAAAGGTTGGCATGAATACCAAAAAAAAGGGCAAATGAGAAGACAGTAGTATTCACAGTTTTCCTTTCCAACTGAATCCATGCCCATTCATATTTGAAAATTTTAATATACACATTGGCATTCACCTGAACACTCTGGCCTCCCAATTAATCAACATCCTCAAGTACCTTTATTTTCACTCCTCCTCATCATACACAACAAGGACGGCCATATCTTAGACCTCATCATGACCCGTAACTGTGCTACCTTCATGATCTTGAAATCTGATATTCCATCCTCTGATCATAACCTCCTATATTACCATCTCTCCCTCCACTTCCTTCTACCTAAATCTATTCTTTGTTCTCACCAGGAGCCTCGTTCCCTCTAATCCATTCTTTTCTCCCAGTCCAATCCCCCTGTCTTTGTCTCACATTTCTTTCCTTCATGATTTTGAGCTTAGAATAACCAAATGGGTATAGCAATTTAAGGTTTACAAGCCCTTCATATAGATTACTTCAAGTGAGCCTCAATACAACCCCATGAATCCCTTGCCTCCCCATCCCATCACTGTTCACAACTTGCCAAACTCCCTCTTTGTGTTACCCCACCTTCCACGTCCTTCACAACTACTCACATGCAGCTCAACACTGCTAGACAAAGCCACACAATCATCCTGAGTAGACCCACTACATATGTATATTAACTACTACAAGTGACCCCTCACTGCTGCAAAGCAATCCTTTTATTCTGCCTTGACTGACTACAATATGTCCCAGAAAAGCTATTCTAAGCCTTCTTTTCCCCCCCTCAACCTCCAATATCACCTCCTAACTAAGGGACCTGGCCTTATATATTACTGAGAAAACAGAAGCCATCTGTAACAAACTCCCTCTTCTCTTCTTCAACACCTTAACCCTACCAGATTTTGTCATTTCCAGCTTTCTCCTCCACACACGTCCCTTCTTCTTGGCCAGATCCACCCCTGAGAGCCTCGCACTAGTTCTCAGCAGCTCATCCCCTTGTTTGTTTCTTCCCTTTCGATTACTGCTGATCTTTCCTTACTCATTGGCTCCTGCCTACCTGTCTAAAACATGCCAAGGTGGCCCTATCCTCAAAAAACTTATTTGTCCCTGCTAAACCCTTAACCTGATGCCTTCTATTTCTTTTTCTTTTCACAGCCAAAATTCTCAAAAGAGTCATCTAGTCTTGCTGCTTCCAAAGCCTTACTTCTCAATTTCTCAAATTCAAGCTTCTGACCCTACCGCCCAATTGAACTTGCTCTTTCCAAGGAACTCTCTGAATCATCTGATACTACTGATCAAATCCTTCTCCTGGATCCTTCTATTCCTTCGGCTTGTGATACTGCTCTCTCCTGTTCTACCTGCTTGCCCCTTCTCTGTCTGCTCTGATCCATTATCACCCAACTTCCTTCTGTGCCTCCTAAAGATCCGTCCTGGGTCCTTATTTCTCCAGATCCTGCTTCCCTTAGTGACTTCATCCATTCCCATGGGTTCAATTCCTACCAGAATGCAAGCTGCTTACACTGTGCAATGATGAACTATGAGAGACTGGGCTCTTCTCAGCAATGCGATGATACGATGCCAAAAGACTCATGATGGAAAATGCTATCCACATCCACAGAAAGAACGAGGGAGTCTGAATGTAGATCAAAGCGTACTCTTTTCACTTTTGTTTTTCCTTTCTCGTGGCTTTTCCCTTTTGTTCTGATTCTTCTTTCACAGCATGACTAATGTGGAAATATGTTTAACATGACTGTACATGTATAACCTGTATCAGATTGCATGCCTTCTTGGGGAAGGGGGGAGAAAAATTTGGAATGCAAAATCTTATAAAAATGAATGATGAAAACTATCTTTATGTTAACTGGAAAAAAATAAAATACTTTCAAGTACAAAAAAAAAGACTAAGGGTAGGGATTTCACTCTTTGGACTTGTATCCACAGTGCCTAGCACATAACACTCATAACAAGTGCTTAGTAAGTATTTATTGGTTTATTCAGCCCTAATTTCTCCTGAAGTCCCACATCATCAACTGTCTACTGGACATGTCTTCCCAGATGCCATTTTAGGCATATCAAACTTAACATGCTCAAAATGGAATTTAATATCTTCCACCTAAACCTATCCCTCCTCCAAATTTCTCAATTTCCATCGAGGACACCACCATTTTTCCAGTCACCCAGGTTTCCCATCTTAGAGTAAGTAACTGACTCTCCATTCTCCCTCACCTGACATATCTAATCAGATCCTAAATGCTATTGATTCCCCCTTTACAACATCTCTGGCATCCATCCCTCTTCTCCATTTGCAGAGCTACTACTCCAAGTTCAAGTCCTCATCACCTCTTGCTCCGGTAAAAGCAAAATGCCTCTTAATTGGTTTCTTTATTTCTGATTCTTCATTTTCCAATCTAGCTTCCACACAGCTACTAAATTACTATTCCTTATACATAGGTCTGAAAAATGTCTGCCCCTTGCTCAAAAATCTTCAGCAGCTCTCATTTGCCTCAAGGATAAAATATAAACTCCTTAGCCTGGTATTTAAGGCCAAGTGGCTCCCACTTATCCTCTCCTGTTTATACCTATTTACATATACACTGTCTCTCCCATTAGAATGTTAGTTCCATTGAGGGCAGGGACTGTTTTCACCTTTCTCTATACCTCCAACACTTAACACCTCGCCTGTCACATAGTAAGCAATTTCTAAATGCTTACTGATTGATTTACCCTTCAAAAACTCTATATTCGAGTCACACTGGCCTAGTTCCTATTCTGCAAACTCGGCCTTCCTTTCCTCTTCCTTGGACCTTTTAGCAAGCACTCCCCCGTGCCTGAAATGCACTCTTTCCTCATCTCTGCTTCTCAGAATCCCTAGCTTCCTTCAGCTCTCAGCTCAGGTGGTACTTTCTACAGGAAGCATGTTTTGATTTATCCAGAAGAAGGGAATAAGCATTTAAGTGCTTACTATGTCCCAGGCACTGTGCTAATAATCACTTTACAAATATTGTCTTATTTGATTCTCACTACCTCTTGGGAAGTAGGTGCTGTTATTATCCTCATTTTACAGTTGAGGAAACTGAGGCAGGCAGAGATGAAGTGACTTGCCCAGGGTCATACAGTAAGTGCCTGAGGACAAATCTGAACTCAGGTCCTCCTGACCCCAGGCTGGGACAGCTGTGCACTGCGGCGCCCCCTAGTGGCCTCTTTGATAGCAAAGGCTGTTTTGTTCTTGCCTTCCTATCTCTAGTACCTCCTGGAGTGTCTGGCACACAGAAGTAGGCACTTAACCAATATTTAATTGAATTTACCTAATGATCCATTTGCCCACTTTCCTATCTCTCTTAAATCTTTAAGAGGCTGATCTATGTAGGTACCAAGATCATTCTTGATGAAAGTATGAGAAAGGGTACCTATAACCAGACTTTCGCTACCACCCTGCTCTCTATTGTAGACTGCATCTTCACAGTCACACAGCTGACTGAGAGGTGTAAAGAACACGAGCTCTATGTTTATCTTCTGCTGACTGAAATAAAATTGAAATGGTAAGGCAAAAACACAGCCTCTCCAAAAAGTTCTCTTCCACATTGACCACGCTCCGCTTAGTTCATTTAAGATTCACTTTTCCAGTCCTTCGCATTTTCCATTAACTTTTTACTACACTATATTTATCTTCCAAATGGAAGAGTTTTTATTCCATTTAGTTAAAAAAATTCACAGTTAATAATGTCAAATGATGAAATAATTTTAGTTATTTTTCACACAACTCCTCTGGGAATAAGGTATGTAATAGCCCATTCCACAATTATTTTCATCCAAAGTATTTGCTATTGATCTTAACACTATTAACCAATCTAGTTCTGTCTAAATCCTTGGACCTCACACAGCAATTTATTTTGCACCTCTCAAGTGCATTTACTGTATTGTTGTACGTGATCATTATTTGTGTATGTATCTTATTTCCCTACCAGACTGAACAGCAGGTAAGGACTGAATATTGGCAAAAGTTTTCATCCTCTCCAGTACCTAGTATAGTACTCTCTATAACGGAGGTATCTGATAAATGTCTGTCAAAATGAATTCAAGTCCATTACTGAAATAAAGCTAGAAGAGCAGGTAAGAATGGGGTTGAGAGAGGACAGAATAGAAATGAAAATTTTTTGGGAAAAAAATCTGCTGGACTAACCCCAATATTTTTACTTTCAAGAAAGTTAAATTAAAAGTTAGATGAAAGCTCCGTTAGGAAGGCACTCTGCTTAGCATTAGTGTTGAATATTAATATGAAAATAATTATGTAGATGTTGTAGAACTCCACTACAAGAAAAATAAAAGGAATTTCCTTTGGTTCATTATAATGGAATTTAGCTGGAATAGATGAGGGGGGAAAGCAAATAGCCAGTGTCTACATTCCACAGTTTGGTTGCAACAAGTCTCCCCTCTACCTCCCATTTTAATAGGTTTGGCATTTAATTGACTCTCTCACATACCGCACTCAGTGCTCTCTCATTCTCTCTCTCTGTATGTGTGTGTGTGTGTGTGTGTGATACGTTTGTATGTATGTATATGTATGCATACACATGTCTATGTGTACACACACATACACACAGATAAGTAGATGCAGATATAGAGAAAACTAGGAAAAAACCCTCAATAACGCTGAAATTACAATATATCAAAAGAACTTTTCCATTCAAGAAGATGGACACAAGCCAGAATATTACATGGGATTCTTAACCTGATGTTAAGGTTATGGATGCATGTTTACAGAAGAGATTTCAGGGGGTCTTGTGAACTTGGAGGGGAAAAGAAATTACATCTTTATTTTCACTGACCTCCAACTGAAATTTCTTATTTCCTTCAATTATGAATTTTTAAAAAGATATGATTTAGAGAAGGTATCCGTAGGCTTCCCCAGACTGCCAAAGGATCCACTACACAACAAAGCTAAGTAAGAGACAGAGAGGGCCGTGATCCAATAGGGAAGGCCTCAGAAGTGTCCACACCATGACTACTGCAGGCCACAGTAGGCAACATTCTTCCCTTCCCCTCTTCTATTCTTTCTCTTACTTTTCTCTTTCGATTTCCCATTTTCAAATACACATGCCTACAGATGGTACTTCTGTGCTAACTCCCTACTTGTGGAATTTAGGGCAAAAGGGATAACTGACCCACCCTAACGGGTTTAGATTCCGAACGGGAAGGGATTGAGTTCTTTTCCTAGCTCTTCAAATTTACTTTGTGATTTTGGAAAAGTTGACTAATTTCTTGATGCCCTCTTCATGTTCAATTATTGACAGTAACAGGATTTGCTGCCTACCTACATAATAGATACGATATCTTCAATCAATAAAAATGCATTAAGTACTTACTCTGTGCCAGGCACTGTACTTGGTGCCAGGGATGCAAAAAGAGGCAAAAGATAATCCCTGCCTTCAATGGATTGCAATATTAATGGAAAATATTAATTGTATCATATCTATATCATGGGAGATATCAACAATGTATTATTTTGAAAAGATACAAAGATAAACAGAACATCACTCTGAGGTGGATGGATTGGTAAATTATTTCATTTTACTAAGATCTAAATTTGCAATTCTTTTCCTCAATTTTTTAACATATTTATTTAAAGTTTTGCGTTCCAAATTCTATCTTTCCTTCCCTCCCCTCTCTGCTCCCTGAGATAGTAAGGAATCAGATAGAGGTTATACATGTGCAATTATGTAAAACATTTCTAAATTAGTTATTTTGTATGAGAAGACTCGAATAAAAGAAAAAAGAAAGTGAAAAATAGCATGCTTCAGTCAGTATTCAAATTATATTCAAATATCAGTTCTTTCTCTGGAGGCGGATAGTATGCTTCACCATTAGTCCTTTGGGATTGTCTTGGATCACCGTTTTGCTGTGAACAGCTAAGTCATTCATAGTTCTTCATCAAACGATATTGCTGTGACTGTGCACAATGTTCTCCTGGTTCTGTTTACTTCACTATGTATCAGTTCATGTAAGCCTTTCCAGATTTTTCTGAAATCTGCCTGTGTCATTTCTTATAGCACAATAATATTCCACCACGATCATACCACAGCTTGTTTAGCCATCCCCCAACCGACGGGCATCCATAAATTTGCAATTCTTAAGTTACCCACCTGTCAACTTCCTCTTTGCTCATAGAGGCAAATGTGAAACACTCAGTTATGCCATTTACAGCAAGCAAGAGGACATATAAACAATAGCATCGAAGGAGAACAGGACCTGGAAACAAAATGCCAAACAAAAGTTTATCAAAACCACAAACACAAAGATAAAAAACATGACATCTTCCTTTCAGTTCTACTCAGTGTCCACAGGAAAACCAACAACAAACCAGTACTCTTTTCTGTTGTTGCTAGGACCAGTATTTCTGTAGATTTCATATTCAAATCTAGAATCTAATTATTTGGAAAGATTCCTAGTATTGCATGGCACTGAACAGAGGAAGCAGCCAAAAGCAAAAGAACAATTATGAATAAATAGTCCAGATCTTTTCCCTGACAGCTGAAAGCTTGTTTGGATAGCAAGTGGATTTTCTCACTTTTTAATAAACATGGAAATTTGCTAGTCTCAGCACCACACAGAAGCAACTCCCCCTGAAAGCTAAGGGATCGCAAGTGTAGAAGCCATCATGAAGAACAGACTTTGAGAAAAAGCACAGGGCCAACGGTTAAAAGCAAGCAACTGGGCAAAAACATATACATATCTGCAATAAGAACCATAGCTTGTGCCTTACTCTTGGTCAAGATGAAACAGATCCAATTTCATAACTAGCTAACAAGCTTCTAAATGATACTATCAAGGCAAGGGGAACTTTTTTATATGAGATTAAAGCACCAGAACTGTAGAATCTGGAATTTATCCACTGTTTATAAAGGTTGTTAACATGAATTATCCTCATGGGGACCCCAAAAAATTTTATGAAGATCATAAATTGTCAAATGAATACAAACAATTCAGTCTGAAAAACTACTAAGAATTATTTCACTATCTCAATCTTGAGTTTTCATTAAAGAAAGAGTCATTCCACCAAATATCTTTTTAGGGCCTGCAGTAGTACCTGCCTGAGACAAGATAAAGCAAAGTACCCTGGCCTGCCACCTCTGCTGGAAAAAGCCACTTGTAATAGAATCTACAGTGCTAGCCCTTTGGATTTTTTAAAAAGGTCAAGGTCAAAGAGTGAGTTTTATATTTGATGCAAGCCTCATTGTCATTGCTACTACCTACACCTGCTCTTTATACCCTCTCTACTGAAAGAGAGGGATAATGGAACTCTTCTTTCACCATTCTAGAAGCCCCCAGCCTCCTCTGACTGGAGAACACTGGGCCACTCTCAAGTGGTAAAAAAATAAAATAAAACCAAGAGACACAGAACATGAGAGAACAGATTTGGACTGAGGTATTGAGGCAATACTAGAGTTCCCTAAGGGAAAAGACGGTGAAGCTGAAATATCCAAGCATGACCCAGGAACAGAATCTTACTTATAAGGTTAGAGAGGAAGGAAAGTCAGATATATGATGAAGGGCCAGATCTGGGAACAATCTGGCTTTGGGAGGAGAAAAGAGAGAAATACGTAAGGTAACAATGAGGATCCATCCTGGAGAAATGAAGGAATGATTATGTTTTCCCTTGGGATGGGAAGTTGGGTAGAAAAGGCTTCTGGAAAAAAAAAAAGATAATTACCATATGGGACCTTAGTCATCAGCACCTATAAAAACACCAAAGAGCATGTGGATTAAAAGATTTGGCAAAAGGCTATGTAAGGATGGGCACAAATCAGAGAGAGACAAATGAGCAACTTCTGCCTCCTAAATTTCTTTGTGTTTCACAATTTTAGTTGCATTTATTAAATGCTTACTATATGCCAGACATTGTGCTGAGTGCTGGGGATATGGGGGCAAGGGAGAGACAACAAGTAAACAACTACACATAAACAAGATGCTTACAAGATAAATCAGAGACAATTTCAGAGGGAAGGCATTAGAATTAAGGGAAATTGGAAAAGGCTTCTTATATAAAAACTCAGCTCTTTAAAAATAGCAAACTTTTTTTTTTAAGAAGTATACTTGCAACATTTCTTTAGTGAAGTTGTCAGAAACGACCCTCCAAATGCCTGGCTACTAAGTTTAAGTGCGACTCTTCTCACTAGAAAGGAGAGTTAGTTGGCTTTCATGTGCAAAGGATAAGAAATTAGAAACACTAAAACGGAATCTTTATAGTCTTCTACTTTTCACTCTTAGTGAGTGAAATCATGTCATCAATCAGAAGCATTTATGAAGCACCTGATTTTGTACAGTGCTGTGCTAGCTGCTATAAAAAGGGAACTAGAGTGGGGGCTCCTTGAGGGCAGGGACGGTTTTTGCCTTTCTTTGTAACACCAGCGCTTAGCACAATGCATAATACATAGCAGGTGCTTCATAAATGCTTACTGTGATTAACATGTGGGTTAGGTTCTACAGTTAGCACAGAAAGCAAAAATCACGTAGAGTAAAAATTACCCAATAGAGAACAATCATGGCCTTGTTGTTCTAGGGAGATAGATTTTTCTTCATCAATTAGAATTCTACTGTTCCTCTGTTCCATCCCTTACTGCTGCCTTTCTCCCTTGGTGCTTTCAACCTGGTACTTCTCCTCACCTGCCCTGGTTGGGGACATCACGAAGGAATCACTTTGGGGCCTGGGAGTTGGTGGTAGTGACCCTGGGCTTTCCCTGGGCATTGTCTAGATGCAGCCAGCATCATAAACAAGCCATGGTGGGGTGTGGGAACCTACCACCCAGGGCTACTCAATGGTTCTGTATATATAATCCTATATAGTAATATGTGTGGGTGTACGTATGTATGTGTATTTCTCTCTCTTCCTTTTTTCTGGGCATATAGTTGAATATGTGCAAGTTATCATGCTTTAAAGTCTGTAATAGGCTTTTCAAATATTCTCATTTTATCCTCTCAACAACCCTGGGAAGTAGGTGCTATTATTATCCTTATTTTACAGATGAGGAAACTGAGGTAAAGGAAGGTTAAGTGAGTTGCCCAGGGTCACACAGCTAGTAAGTGCCTGAGATGGAATTTGAACTCGAGGTTTTCTCGACTGCAAACCTAGCACTCTATCTACTGACTATCAAGCCATTTGTTTTATGTCAGACTCAGAGAAACTATATAGAACAGAGAGAGGGCTAAACTAAAGCATTATCAGCAATATGGAAGAAAGGATTCCTCCAGTTGTCACTGTTTCCTCTTCTCAGATTATCTCATATTGGGAAAGGGACTGGACTTACTGACTTTTAGCCTTCCTTCTAACTCTAGAGTTTTATGATTAAAATAATTTATGAAAAATTAGGAAGGATATCCCCTATATATAGGACAAGGGAAAATCCATATCTGGGTAGTGACAACAGGAAGAGTTACATCATTGGGTGGAACATGGAGGCGTGCTGCTACGGGGGTACACCATATTTTGGTTTGGGAGCTGAGGCCGAGTGATGCTAAGCTGTCAGACTTTTTCTGATCAATCTAGGAAGCCCTCATTGAGGAGGAGGACTGAAGTAGCTTGAAGAATCGAGAAGTGAGAAAGACCTCAAAGATCATCTTCCCTTTTACAGATAAGGAAACTGAGGCTTACAAGAGAGAAGAGATGGATGCTTTGGTAAACCAACAAGGAAATGGCAATCTAGATGCATGGCAGCACAGGACAAGGCTGAAAATTAAGAGTGAAGTGAGTGTAGGGTCTGGACTCAAAACTGATGTGCTTGCAATGAACAGAGGAGACACGCTAAGGGGCAGTAAATAAAATCACTTGGTACACTCTGGTGAAAGGTTTTGACTCTTGGACTTGATATGAATATGAAACTTTTTTTTTTGGTTTTTTGTTTTTGGCTAGGCAATGGGGTTAAGTGACTTGCCCAGGGTCACACAGCTAGTAAGTGTTATGTGTCTGAGGCCAGATTTGAACTCAGGTCCTCCTGACTCCAGGGCCAGTGCTCTATCCACTGTGCCACCCAGTTGCCCCTGAATATGAAACTACTGAAGAGGAAGCACGAATAGAGAGTTATCTGTGGGGCCAGGAAGACTTGAGTTCAAGTGCTGACTTTGACATATACTGGCTTTGCGACACAGGGCAAGCTGGGTAACTGTCAGCGCTTGAGACAGTTCTTGAAGACTATCAATTGCAGAGAAGATGATGATCTGCATTGGGAGAGGGAGTTCGTAACAAAAAAAGTTCACTACATTAATGCCAAACCAGATACAGCCAACCCCTCTTGCTATGGTAATGCTATAGAGAAAGCTGGTATCTTGTTGACTGCGTCTCTCCACAGGCAAAATTGCAGTGAAATAGCTGAGTCACTAATCTCTGAACATAAATGCTGTACTGAGATTTCCTTTCAATGGGCTGATGGTAACGAGGTCTCCAAGCACTTCTGATACCACACCCTAAGAATGATGCCAGTGACTTCATCTGCTTAACAGCGGTTGTTTCTCTAAACTTAATTACCTTTGTCCTTGTTTACACAAACTGGGGTCTTCCCTCTCCCCCCAACACCAAGAGGTTGGCCCCACTACAGCAGATAGCTTTAATACATGATTTATAAAGACTTCTTTTCACAAAAACTCAATGGCAAGAAAAGGTATTTGGGGTTCTTTTCTACTAATCTGAGGAATTAAAGTAACTTTTCTAAACCTAAGAAGAAAAACTACAAATGGATGGCCAATCTGAGGATAAATCTGATACAGTTTGAAATGGATGCACTTTAATTTACAAAATCATAAACTAAAATAATATAAAACAATTGCTAAGAGAAATTGTGTATCTTGAGTTGCTTAAAAGTTAAATCTATCCAACCATCTTTTTCTTCCTAAACCCAGAGTTACTGGAACAAATACTCCACTCACATAGTTTGATCTAATTCTTACACAGTTACTTCAAGTTATCCTTTAGCGGCTTTTGTGCATGAAGGCATTAGACTTAAATGGCATTTATTATCTTAAGAAACTCATTAGCACTTTACAGTCATTCTAAAGGAACTTGGAAAATTACTCTGCAAGAAACATTTTGTGTCTGGAAGAAGAATAGCTTTGAGGTGGGTTTATCCTCCAGGCTGAGGCCTGTGTATCACGAAGAATCTCAGAGTCATCCAAGCACTAATTAGGACACCTGGCAGTTTGTGTAGGTGATACAAGGGCCCTATCCACTGGGAAGTTTTTCCCTCTACTGACAAAACCATCAACCTGTGTGTACACAATGAATGAATTATGGTTTCTTTTAGGAAGAATTACAAACTAGGTAAAAATGTGGAACATACCCGACCCAGTACTAAGCATGGACCCTCCGTAAATATCCAAAGCCAACTGAGAATAGGAATAGCCAAAAACAGTTATTGTCAGACCAATGAGAAGACAAGCTTCAGCAGGGACTCTAAAACTGTTGCTGCCATGGCAATATCCTCCTGGGGCAGAAAGAAAAGTAAAGAAAACCATATGAATCATAATGTAAAGGAACATATCTCCATTTTTGGTACTCTAAAGAAGCTAGACTTTCTCCTTCATCAATATACAATATATAGTACATACACTCTTACAGCTGTCTAATGATCTCCAGAACCAGCTTTTGTACCCTGAATGTGTTTTCACATCAATCAGCAAATGAAGAGAAATGGAGAGGAACAAATAATATATGAGGTGAGTTTTTTTTCCACCTGCTTTTGGATAAATTAACTTTAACTATCAAAATGTTACATTATAGAATACCCAAGGAGACTAAATTCTTTGAAACACTCACTTTTCCCTTTAACTTTTTCATCAAATTAAAACTGCAGTAGGTTATTATGTCTGCTGGCAGAAGCATCCCCCCCACCCCAAACCTTTCAGTTTTCAGTATTCTGGAGGCATTGTCAATGTGTACTAACATCAGACTACATACTAGATCATTGAACAGTAACAACTACACTAAGTATTTGTTAAGCACTGGGGTATATAAAGACAGGTAAGAACACAATCCCTGACCTCAAGGAACTCACCTTTTAATGGGCAGACAACATGCAAACAACTAAATATATACATAATTTATAGATCTTGACACTTCTGACAAAATCTCTTAGGATTTTTCAGGGCAAAAGCATTACTGAACCTGATTATAATTCAAAGGCAAATCAGAATTTTGAAGCAGTTTCATAAGAATATACGGTTTTTCCATTTCTTGGAATCCTTCCTATGTTTGCTATATAACATGTACGATCTTAAGATGAATATTTGTCTCTAAGCATCTAATATTTTGCCCAAGTCCTGGTAACTCCCATGCATTAGAGCAGGGAGGGGAACCATGTTAACAGCCTCTTCTCCTCACCATTTTGCCTAAGCTGGGATTCTTAAACTTCTTCATCCTACAGACCATCCTGAGGCCTTCTTTGGTGTCCTATATCCTTCTATCTAAGAGGGAAATGTGACACAATTTTTGTTGTTCCCAAGGGAAGAGTCACAGTAGCGGGGCAGCTCTTTTAGTTCTAAGATGGGATTAGGACAGGTCCCCAAAGTAACAAAGAAGCAGGGGCAAACTAGAGAAATAGGAAAGCAGTACAGAAAAATGGGGTCACGGGGAGGACTATCCCCAAAAAACCATATGGAGTCTGGGACTATGCAACAGAAAGATGAGAAGGGGAGGTTAAAACCTCAAAGGAACACAACTCAGAAGGCATAAAGAATAACTGACATTTCTGTTTTTTCCTTCAGTTCAACAAGTGAACTGAATTTAGAACTAATGTGAAAGCAAAAACTACCTGCTTTTGAAGCTTGACACTCTTTCCCCTCTCCAGAACCTTAGCAAAGAATATGTAAAAACTCTCTTCTATTGGTTGGAAAACCAATCTGGCCACAAGTGAGCCTAGGTTATTCACTATGTCGTAAATACCTAGCAGAACAAAAAAGGAACATAATACAATATTACTAATCTTTTTCCCCTGTTTTAATCTTCTACAATGGCAGGTTTTTAAAAACTTATACAATGCACATTTTATTTTTCTATTCAGTCTCCATTTCTGTTAACTTTAAGCAAACAGGTATTCAATTTTAAAATCACCTATAATCTATAAACATACTGACACATAAAGGAATCTCTAGCTACAAAAAACATACTCAAGAACAAGTCAGCCTCGAGACACCGGGTTCCATCCTCTACCAATGTAAACCACACCCCCTTTGGGGATATCAGAATCCTGTGCCCAGCAAAGCAGTAAGGGAGAGTACCTCAATAGCTAAAATACCTTAGTGCCACTGACAGACACTTACAAAGATATTCTAAACCTTTCATATATTTACAAAGAACAACAATTTGGTATCTCTAGAAACTGACAATTTCATTTGCACAAAAAGCAATAAACCAGAAAGAACAATATTAAGTATTTATTGAGTGCTACTGTATAAATATTAACTATGGTAAAGCTTACCTTGGTCTCCAAAATTTAACACATTCAAAAATGTCATCACATACCTCTCACCTGTAAGTTTAAAAGCAAAATAATTAACATTTAAAACACAGAGAGTTCTAGTTTCTCTTTTCTGGCTTGCAGAACTTTTAAAGTGAAAAGTTTTAATCTCCAGCTATGTGTAATTTCTTGTGCATGAGTCCAGGTTTAATGATTCAAAATGCAATAAAAAATACTTTGAAACTTTTTTTCCTTTTTTTTTTTGGTGAGGCAATTGGGATTAAGTGACTTGCCCAGGGTCACACAGCTAGGATTTGAACTCAGGTCCTCCTGACTCCAAGGCTGGAGCTTTATCCACTGTGCCACCTAGCTGCCCCTGAAACTTTTTTAACAGGTTATGATGAAATCTAGGACAAGATTCCAATTTAAGGTAATTTCTTCAAGTTTTAAGACAAAGCAAGAAATCTGGGTCTAAATGTAATAGAAATTATTCATGTCAGAGTGAATAGAGAGATAGCCCTGAAGTCAGAAAGCCCAGAGTTCACATCCTATTTCTACCCTAGCTGTCAAGCTAACACTGAGCAAATCACTTAATCAGCCCTAGGCAATTCTCTAAGACTATCAAGTGGCAGGGAACATCCCTATCCGTGGCAGAGATGACAAAAGAGGAAAATGACAAATATTGGAGGGTCTACAGGAAAACAGGCACACTAATCTACACTTGGTGGAGCTGTGACTTGGTCCAGCCATTTTGGAAAGCAATTTGCAATAATGCTCCAAAAGTCACTAAACTGTGCATATCTTTTGACACTCCTCCCCTCCCCCCAGATATTACATCTGAGCACACATCCCAACGAGATCAAGGGAAAGGGAAAAGGACCCATGTGTACAAAGTTATTTATAGCTGCTCTCTTCAGAGTATCAAAGACTAAGGGAGTGCCTACCTATTAGGGTATGGCTAAACAAACTATGGCATATGAAAATAACAGAATATTATTGGGCCACAGGAAATGATGAAATGGATGGTTTCAGAGGAAAACAAGAAGACCTTTATGAGATAATGCAGAGTGTAGTAAACCAGACTTTGTGGAAAAAATCAGATAATGACAACAATTTAATAAAGAAAAGCAACTTGGAAAGACTTTAGAACCCAGATCAATGCAATGACAAATCATGACTCCAGAGGACCAAAGAGAAGGCACACTAACTACTTTTTGCCAGAGAGGTGATGGACGTAAAATGCAGAATGAGACTCACATTTTTGGCCATGGCTAATTTACAATTTTTTTGCTTGATTATGTATATTTGTCATGAAGGTTTTCTTTTTATTTACTTTTAAACTGTTCAAAGGAGGAAGGAGGAAAGAAAATATATGCTGATTAATCAGAAAAAAATAATAAAATTTGAATTTTAAAAATATATTGATTTGTATAGCTATGGGGAGCAAGAAGCTCCCCATACCAATGAAATCATAGGTTTTGTTTAAAAGGGAAAAAAAGCATTTATAACCACAGTCTCAGTCTCCTTTGCTGGATCTTAATCTAGGTCAGTCCACTAACCACTTATAGTCCACTGTTCTACAGGACTCTGTGTTGGGCCTTCTCTTCTCCCTCTATACTATTTCATCTGGTGATCTCATCAGCTCACATGGCTTCAATTATCATCTCTATGATGACGATTCTCAAAACTACTTACTGCCCTAACCTCTTGGCTGACCTCCAATCGTGCATCTCCAACTGCTTTTCAGACATTTTGAACTGGATGTCCATTAGACATCTTAAACTCAATTATCTCCCAAACTAAACTCATTATCTTTCTCCCTAAACTCTCCTCCTTTCCAAACTACCTTATTATTGTTGAGGGTACCACCATCCTCCCAGTCCTCCAGGCTCCAATCTTGGCTCCTCATTATCTCTTATCCCCCAGATTCAATCTGTGGCCAAGGCCTGTCAATTTCACTCCTGTAACATCTCTCAAATATGCCACCTTCTCTTCTCTTCCGACAGCATCCTGACGCAGGCCCTCATCACCTCACACTTGGACTACTGGACCCTGCTGGTGGGTCTGCTCCCCTCAAGTCTCTCCCTACTCCAATCTATCCCCCTTTTGGCTGTCAAAGTGATTTTCCTAAAGCCCCAATCTGATCATGTCACCTTCCTCCTTAATAAACTCCCTATCACCTCCAGGATCAAATACAAAATCCTCTGATAGTCAAAGCCCTTCATAACCTACCCCTACCCCACTTCTTTTCTAGTCTTCTTACACCTTACCCTCCATGTGCTCTTCAAACCTGTGACACTGGACTCCTTGCACTCCGTGAACAAGACACTCTATCTCTAGGCATTTTCTCTGGCTGTCCCCCCTGATTAGAATGCTCCCCCTTCTCAACTTTACCTCCTGGCTTCCCTGGCTTCCTTCAAGCCCCAGACAATCTCCCACCTTCTACAGGAAGCGTTTCCCAAAGCCTCTTATTTCTAGTGCCTTCCCTCTGTTAAATATTTGTTTATCCCGTGTGGAGTTTGTTTGTACATATTTGTGTGCTTGCTGACTCCCCAGCTGCACTGTGAATTCCCCCAGTCCCTGTGGACAGGGCCTGTCTTTTGCCTTTCTTTGTATCCCCCAGTGCTTAGTACAGAACTGTTTCATATCTTGTTTAAAATTTACATTTACATTTAAAAACTTTTTATTTTTTGGCATTCTGAATTTGACAAACACCAACAAAGACAAATATTTCCAAATCCAAAGAACAGAAAAAGAGAATTTTATATGTGACTATCAATTATATACAGACTTTCTAAAAAAACAAACTGTAATAGATCTAATGTACTGGATTCAAATTCAATTCAAAGCTGTCCTGCTTATGTGTCTCTCTGAAATTCCTGTTCTCTTCTGTGAATTTGTAAAAGATTCTTCAATGACCCTCTTTTTTTCTCTTGACATTTTAACTAGTTTCCTTCTCACCATGAAATCCTTTCCATTAAAAAACAAATAAACAAACAACAAGCCAACCCTCCCTTGAAATGAATGAGTATGGTCAAGCATTAACAAATCCACTCATTGGCCATGTGTGAAAATGGATGTCTCATTCTGCACTTCTATTCCATCATTTCTCTATTGGTCCTCTCAAGTCAGGACTGAACATCGCATTAATCAGAATTTCAAGGAGTTCAAAGTTGTTTTTCTTTACAGTGTTGTAGCCATTATATAAATTATTCTCCTGGTTCTATTCATCTCACTCTGCATCAGTTCTTTCAAGTCTTCCCAGGTTTCTCTGACTCTTTTGTCATTTCTTTCCTTAAAATGTTTTTTTGGGGGGGGGGCTAGGCAATGGAGTTAAGTGACTTGCCCAGGGTCACAGAACTAGTAAGTATCAAGTGTCTGAGGCCAGATTTGAACTCAGGTCCTCCTGACTCCAGTGCTGGTGCTCTATCCACTGTGACATTTAGCTGCCCCTGTCATTTCTTATAGTGCAATGATATTCAATTACATTCATATTTCATAATTTGTTCAGCACTTCCTTAGTATGGGCCCCCCCTTTAGTATCTAGTTCTCTGCTATAACATAAACGGATGCTATATTTTTGTACATATGAGTCCTTTCATCTTTTAAAAATTTCTTTGGGGTTAAATACCTAGTAGTGATATTGCTGGGTCAAAGAGTACACACAGTTTGGTGACTTTGAGGATACAGCTCAAAACTGCTTTTCAGAATGCTTTATGTTTGTAAAATTTTTCATGTTGGACTCCAGTTGCTTTTACAAATTCCATAAAATAATAAAGCAAAATTTTACAAACATGTGGTATCATCACTAACTGCTCCTTATTAATAAGCACAGGATTCACACCTGGCCACACCGATCTTGGTTATAACACCTAATTGCTAAGGATAAATCAGTTAACTGTTAATGACTATTACCAAGACTGATTTTTTCACTGAAAAACTCAAGCGAGACCTCAGAGAAAGCCTGGTTGAACTCTTTCATTTTACAAAGGAAGAAGGTGAAGTTCTGAGGGGAAGGGACTCGAAGAATGTCATACTTTTAATTAGCAATAAGGTATTTTTTCAGTGAGTTCTAGCTACTGTTACAACAATTAGAATGAATTTGTCATCGTTAAGGCTTGGTTGGTAAATTTATGGATTATATTACCTCACATAAACAAGGATTTAGTGTTCATTTGTGGTCTAGAAGACTAACATAAGCCACAGCTTAGGTTGAATATGCTCCCTATAGGCTTGCTATAATTGCTATTAAACATGTGGGGCCAAGAAAAGGTGCACATAAGCAAAAATGTGCTTTATCAAAAAATAATCAGTTGGACTTCCCATTTTAAAATGTGGCAAACTGATCAGCACTCTCATTAACAAGTTCACAAAATGTAAGTGCTGATTTTTCCTATCGTGTCACACAAATGAGTATTTGTATTTATTTCCTCCGGAAGTTTCTAAACCTCCTAATTTTAAAAAGCTAAGTGTCTATATTTAGGTTGAGAGCACCAAGTTTGATTTATATCACAAAACCAAAGAATTAGAAGGGTCCACCCCCAAGTTTACAGATAAACTAAAGTCTAAAAAAAGAGAAGAGTTTTTTAGCCAAGTCATAGAATCAATCAACAAACATTTCCTGAATCTATATTTGTAGCTTTATGATGATCTAACAAAGAAATCTGTCATCATTTTGCCTGTACCCCAACTATGCCTCTGTTAAGACTGGGGACTCTTCATGTGGGTGAATCTCATTTTCCTATGCAAATGAAATAAAAACCTGGTTCTTAAAAGCTTATTCATAATTTAATATGAAAATGGAATTCTAGGGAAGTAAGAGTAGAAAGTCAGGAGGCCTGTGTTCCAGTACTGATTTTACCAATAATTAGTTTCTGTGACAATGAGCAAGTGATTTCCCTTCTCTTTCTTTATATACAAAGTGAAGAGACTGAACAAGATCATCTCAGAGGCGCTTTTCAATTATAAAAGTCCTTATTCCACGTGAAGGAGCTAAAAAACTAGATGACAGAGTCAACATCCAAAAAGATATTGACAGGCCAGAGCACTGGGCTGAATCTAGAACAGATGAAATTCAGCAGGGATAAAGGCAAAGTCTTCTACTTGGGCCATGGCTAGGCAGCAATTTGTCCAAAAACAACTGGGAGCCATGACGATGAGTTGGCAGTGTGCTGGAAAAGCCAAAAAGCTAAGGTAACTTCAGGTTCCGTGGAATGAGGCTGCATTCTTCTACGAGTATAAAGGCGACAGGCCTACTCTACAGTGCCCTGGTCAGTCCCCATGTGAAGAATTCTATTAAGTTCTGGGCACCACGGTTTAGGAGAGCCATTGATAAGCTGAAGAGTATCCAAAACAGGGTGACCAGGATGGTGAAGAGCCCTGAGTCCATGTCACATGAAAGTTGCCTGAAAGAACTTGGGATATTTAGCCTGAAGGAGAAAAGACGTGGAAGGTATGACAGCCTTCTTTAAGTATTTAAAATGGCTAAGAGGTAAAAGAAGGATAAACTTTATTTTGTTTGACCTGAGGGCAAAACCAGGATTAGCAAGCAGAAATTGCAAGAGGGAAAATTTAGGTTTAATGTTAAGAAAAAATGTTTTAGCAATTAGAGCCATGCAAAAGTGGAAGGGACTGTTGGGAGTCAGTGGGTTCCTCCTCAACGGAAGTCTTCAAGCAGATAATGGATGTCTACTTACTAGGACTGTTACCTCCTCTCTCCTGGAAGCAATGCCTCTTTTAATGCAACCCAAGATCACATTGTAGTGGGGATTTCTTCTGAGGCATAAGTTGGACTACAGGTTGTTTCCAACTCTAAAATTCTGCAATTCTGTGAAGTCATTGTTAAATAAGGACCCCTATTTGTTGTTATATTTTACTTACTTCAAAATTTAACTTTCAGAAATTCCATTGAGAAATACTAAACAACTTGTTAATTTGGACTTAAGTTACTTTCAGTCCCTAGGAAATTTCCCTCTTTGATTTGTTATCCAAATCAAACTATGCCTCCATGACAGCTCAAAGAAAGCCTGCTATTTATTTTACTTACCTTCTGTCAAAATCTGTTTCAAGAAGGATTGTTGGAAGAAACTCCATGTCAATTTAGCCTCTTTCCAATTAACAAAAGTCTGCAGGGTAGAGAGAAAAAGAGATTTAAAGTTTTGGTTTTATACAATACGCTAACAGAGGGAGAGATATCCTCCTTCAAGCTATAAACTACAAATTCTTAAATCCCACAAGGGCACCTTCCTTCCATCCCTGCCCCAATTCTTCAGTCAATGCTGAGCACACAGTAGGTACTCAATAACTGCCAAACTGAATTGTGCCCATTATCAAATATAAATATGAATTTCTTCCATCTTGGCAGCCTCTTTACAAGAAGCCTATCAAAATATCCACACATCGATGACAGTTGGGAAATTGCTTCACTTCTTTCAAAAGATCGCAAGAGTAAATCGGCAACACTTCATTCAATATAACATTCCCCACAATCAATAAACAGCAAGTACTTTCTTTGATTTCCCTGACTGTTGAATAGATGTGAAGTTGTGAGGCTGCATGTAGGCCAACCATTTTTTAAAGTTCTGTTGCTGCTTTTGTTTTTATATCACATTCATTTCTGAATATACCTCTCCCCCTTATTCATTGAGCCTTCCCTTGTTAACAAAGATTTTAAAAACCAAACAGTTCTACAAAACTTGGCACGATGACTGACAGGCTGTGCGATGTTCCTCCCACTCCCACAGTCCCCCATTTCTCCAATAAATGGGAAGGCTCATCTTCTGTCTACTCTCTGGAGCCAAACTTGCAGACAACTATTTCGGCCATATTTATACCCTTTATCAATCGGCTGCAGGACCTTTCACTCACAATCTACCAAAACCTCTGATTGCTAAACCAAAGCATGACCTTTATGCTACAATGTAAGGAGTCAGTACTGAGTTTTTCTTCAGTTACAGCCTAAATCACGAACTGTCAATAACAACATTGATCTCGATCTGATCTCAGTCTCCATGTAGTGAAAAATACTTCAGATATTCGTCTACGTTTACTGAGCATAGCAGTACAGAGGGATCCCTGACAGGGAGGTAAATTCTAACAACCTCACTAGTTCTATCCATTCAACAGAATCCTAGGAGGCAAATGATAAACTAGGTCCCTCTAATATCACCCTGGCCTCCTGGGGTCCTCTTTTCTGTAGCTGAATGTGCAGTTGAATAATATGGATTTAAGGGAGTGATGTAAACATTTGTAAGTATTGACTATTTATGCTACATATTTTTATGTACTTATTGTTTCCTCCATTTGAACACAAACACATTTTTTAACTTGTCTCCCTAACACAGCACATAATAGGTGCTTAATACTTGCTAACTGATGCTAAATCATAGGGTACTTCATCTAAAGAAATAAACTCTTTTCACCAGATCCAAATGTATCAGCTGTCTTAAGCATTACAGCTGTTAGTTATGTCTTCTTCAGATAAACATTAAACTTTAGGGTGATCAGATGTGTTTACATAATACTCTTTAAAACAAGGAATGACTGTAATATCCTGGATCTGTAGAATAACTTTCTTCTTAAGCAAATTATGGTTCAACTTCCCATTAAAATGTAAAAACTATCAAAGCATAGCAAGCTTTCAAGAGCTTTACAAGAGTGTGAAATAGAAATGACCATGGAAAGAGTGGATGGGTGACTAACGCCCTCCTTTAGTGCATTTCATCCAAAAGGTCTGACTTAGGGATGAATTTCTTCTGTTTAAGTAGACTTGTGATATGGAGGGAATGGCCTTACCACTTACTGTTTCCAAAATGCTCATTAAAGACAGAAGAAACTGAATCCAAGGTTGGACTCCACTCTAGGGCTTCAGATAAGTAGTATGGGAGAGGAAGAAGAAAGTTAATTTTTCTTCATGGTATTCTGAGTGACTTGTCAGGAGAGAAAGGAGGGAAGAAGACTTGTACTACTTAGCATATGAGAGAAAAGCATCTGACCAACATGCCATTCTCTAGCCTCATTTTACAGAAGAAAGAAAGACATTGGGAAAAGAAACGTGATCTGCTATAAGTCAGGAAAAGTACGAGAACTAGAACTCAGAGGCTCAAGGTGCTTTAGCTGGAGTCTGCCCAAGCTCACTCTCAAACTCTTCTTTCCATGAGGATAGTGTTATTACCTGGGCTCTCTCTACATAGGCCAAAATGTCCCTGGAGAATTTTTACGGGCCTTTGGGTTCATGCTGGTGTTCAGTTTCCTTTTACCACAATCTAAAACATCCCTAAGATTAAAAGATTTTTAAAAATCTGATTTTCATAGGCAGAAACAATTTTAAATTCCAATAACTTCATTCATTTCATTAACATATTCATTTGGGATTTGAAGAACAAGAAATAGGATGTAATAATTCTACCTTAGATGTTTGTTCTAAACATAATATTCTTTGATGTTTTTTAAATTGTTCTACAAGGAAATTCTCAGTCTTCACGCGCGCGCGCACACGCACGCACACACACACACACACACACACACACAAATACCTCACAAAATAACCAGTTTAGACAATTTTATAAAGTAAATTTTTTATTGTAAAATTGTCTTATACCCTTTTGTTTACCCAAATCTCTGCCTCTCACTTTATTTACCTCTTATATTTTGGCTTTGATCACTTAGTGACAGAATAGTGCTATTAACTCTATCATTGCCATATGAAAACATTTACCATATTACAGTCCTGGGCATGTCCTTAAGGAAGAATCAGTTCCAAAAGCCTCACAAGTTAGGCAGTTTTTGTTGGGTACTACATGGGTGAGTTATTCACACTATCTTGGAAAGAACTTTCTTAGTGTCTTCAAAATTGACGTTCTGGTGTGAATTAGACATTCCTGGCATAATTAACATCACTGAAACCTTACTGAATAGGTTTTTTACTTAAGTGTGATAAAAGAAAACACAGCCTGATTAAAAAAATGAGGTCAAAAAGACTCTGTATTATTCATTTGGAAGAACAAAAGGTCCAGAATATGAAGGGAACTAATGAAAAGAAATGCTAGGGAAAGTGGCCTAGCCATGACAAATCTTAAATTGTATGGTAAAGCAGCAATCATCAAAACTACTTGGTACTGGCTAAGAAATAAAGTGGTAGATCAGTGGAATAGGTTAGGTATGCAAGACACAGTAGTTAATGACTATTGTAATTTACTATTTGATAAACCCAAAGATCCCAGCTTCTGGGATAAGAACTCACTATTTTACAAAAACTGCTGGGAAAACTGGCAAAGAGTATGGCAGAAACTAGGCATAGACCAAAATCTTACATCACATACCAAAATTATGTCAAAATGATTTAGATATAAAGTCTGATACTATAAGCAAACTGGGAGAGCAAAGAATAGTCACCTGTCAGATTTATGGAGAAGAGAAGAATTTATGACCAAACAGGAGATAGAGAACATTATGAAATGCAAAATGGATAATTTTGATTATATTAAATTGAAAACTTTTTGCACAAACAAAGCCAATGCAACCAAGATTAGGAGGGAAGTAGAAAACTGGAAAAGAATTTTTACAGCCAGTGTCTCTGATAAGGGCCTCATTTCTAACATATATAGAGAACTAAGTTAAATTTATAAGAATACAAGTCATTCCCCAATTGATAAATGGTTAAAGGATAGGAACAGGCAGTTCTCAGATGAAGAAATTAAAGCCATCTGTAGTCACATGAAAAAATGCTCTAAATCACTACTGACTAGAGAAATGCAAATCAAAACAACCCTTACGTACCACATCACACCTATCAGATTGGTCAACATGACAAAACAAGAAAATGATAAATTTTGGAGAAGATGTGGGAAAATTGGAACACTAATACATTGTTGGTGGAGTTGTGAACTGATCCAACCATTCTGGAGAGCAATTTGGAACTATGCCCAAAGTGCTATAAAAATGTGCACACCCTTTGACCCAGCAATAGCACTTCTAGGTCTGTATCCCAAAGAGATCATACAAATGGGAAAAGGACTCACATGCACAAAAATATTCATAGCAGCTCTTTTTGTGGTGGCAAAGAATTGGAAATTGAGGGGATGTCCATCAATTGGCGAATGGCTAAACAAGTTGTGGTATATGAATGTAATGGAATACCATTGTGCTATGAGAAATGATGAGCAGGCGGACCACAGAAAAACTTGGAAAGACTTGTATATGAGTGAAGGGAGCAGAACCAAGAGAACGTTGTGCAACAACTAACTTTGATAGACTTAGCCCTTCTCAGCAATGCAAGGCTCTCCAAAAGTCTCAGGATGGAAAATGCTATCCACATCCAGAGAAAGAACTATGGAGTTTGAATGTAGATCGAAGCATACTATTTGCTTTTTTTTTTTTTCTGTTTTCTCTTTCTTGTGGTTCCTCCTGTTGGTTCTAATGCTTCCTTACAACATAACTCAGGTGAAAATATGTTTAAAAAAAAGAGACCCTGTATTTTCTTACTCTGTTTTAAGTGAAAAGAATTATAAGGAATTAGACAAGGTATATAAGAGCCATTTGGTCTTGACTGTTTTCATATAAATAAAGTAGGTTTAAGCTTAAGAAATACCTGTTCTCCCACAGAAAGCTTTACAACAGAATTAAACTTCGGAGGGCTAAATTCTATATGTTCTTTTATCTTTTTCAAGAACTATAGGAAGAGAATAAGTACAAATCCCTTCCCTACTCTGCCCCATACAACCAACTGTTCTACTTCTAGAAAACAAAGATAAAAAGAGGACGGCAAAGGAAAAGCAGACTAGCTGAGGATGGCCTCACCTCTTCAGAAACCATCTGATTAGGACTACAATTATGTAAATGATGCCAAAGCAGTAAATAGCACCATTATGTGGAGAGGTACGCAAAAGATGCTCCTTTCAAAAGATGGAAGCAGCGACTGGGGAAACTGTTACTTTAGACTTGATTTTTACCAATAAGGAGGAATTAGCCATGGATTAGAAAGACTGGGCACCTTGGGAGGTAGTAATCATGCAATTTTAGAATTCCTGACAGATAAAAAAGGGAGCAGTAGGCATTGTCTGCCATATGCCCAAAACTTTAGGAAAGCAGATTAATAAGGTTTCAGATATAAGACAGGTAGAACCCAGTGATCTGAGATGTTAACCAGAAACTGGGCTTCAGAAAGATGGGATACTCTCTGACCCAGAGACTCCACTACTAGACAAAAACCTCAGAGAGGTAGTTGATAAAAAGAAAGGAAGGCTCCATACACGCCAAAATATTTATAGCAACACTTCTCATAGTCGTGAAGAACTAGAAACAAAGTCGATGGCTATTGATGGGGGATTGACTAAACAAATGTTGGTGCATGAACATAATGGACCATTACTGTGTTACAAAAAATTACAAACATGATGACTATAGAGAAGACTTATATGAACAGATGCAAAATGAAGTGAGCAGAGCTAGGAAAATAATATAAACAATAACTGGAACAACATAAATAGAAACAACACAATAAAATAATTTAAAGTAAGTATTTCAAAAGTATCAAGAACAAGTTTAGCCCCAAAGAAAAAATGTGAGAAGACAGAGGTGGAGGTCCACAGGTGTGGAACACTGTACATATTATCAGGTTTTCTTGATATCTTGATTGGTTTTGCTGACTTTTTTCCTCTTATTTTTTAAAAAAATATATTTGCCATAAGGAATAACTGGAAGCGGGGAGCCAGTGAGGGAGAAAGACGCAGGGCAAAATCTAGACAACATAAAAACAAAAGATATCCCCCCAAAATCTAGTATTTTTTTTAAGACAGATGAGAAATTGTCAAGAAGGAAATTAAGGCTAGGGAGTTCTAACTGAATCTAATATTGAAAAATGAGAGAGCCACCAAAGGATACTACTGTCACCACACACATTTATTGACTGACTGACTTTAAAAGGGCATTCATGAGGCAAGACGAGCAGGTATTAAAAGAGCGGCATAGTATTAAGAAGGATAAAGCACATTATGAACCGAGATGTGTAATAAATGGCAAACACAGCAAAAGAAACTATTTAAAGCTATGCCAACAGTCAACGGTAAGAACATAGAAGGGATAGGACATCTGCTCAGGGGAAGGGCAGGTGAGAAGGGAGAATGAAAAAAGATCTGCAGAACGGGAAACTGTTTAACTGTATCATGCTTCTATTCTTCTCAACCAATGACCTTCATACCAGTAACAGCAGAATAAAAATTGTTAATAAGGAACTGAAACCCAAGAGAAGTAAGGAAATGGTCAGGGAACACCTAATTACCTTCATTTTAAGTACACATCACCTGGAATGAATAACTATATCCCAAAGTATGGTAAGAATTTGCAAATGGGATTGTTGACCTGTTACTGGGAGACTGAGGGATCATGGCAAACACAAAGATGGAAATGCCCTTGACAAAGCACACATTAATTCTGGCAAAGAATATGATAAAGTTTTTCAGGATATCTTTGTGGACAAGAGGAAGAAGAGGACTTGGTGATGGTACAGTTAAACGGTTTCTCAAAATTGATTAATGGGGCAGCTAGATGGCAAAGTGGATAGAGCACCGGCCCTGGATTCAGGAGGACCTGAGTTCAAATCCAGCCTCAGACACATAACACTTACTAGCTGTGTGACCCCTGGGCAAGTCACTTAACCCCACTGCCTAGCCAAAAAAACAAAAAAAAAATTGATTAATGAACTAATATCACCCTGAATAGCCTTCTCTAACAGAGTACCACAGATCTTTGTCCTCGACCTCATCTCATTCAACGTTTTTATCAATAACATGGATGAATAAACAGGTGGTTTGCTTATCAAATATACAAATGACAAAAATCTGGGGGGGATAGCTAATGGTTTAGATGACAAAACTAGGATTTTAAATGATCCTGACAGACTGAACTCATGGCCTGAAGCTGACAAAATGAAATACAATAGGGATAAACATAAGGTCATTGAGATTTAAAAAAAAAAATCTGTACAAATAAAGTACAAAACGGGGGAGGTGCAGCTAAGCAGCAGCTTGTGTGAAAAAAGATGTAGGGGTTTTAGGGAACTGAAAGCTCGGTGTGAGTCAGCACTGAGTTACAGTATCCAAAAAAGCCAACGCCATCTTAGGCTCTGCACACAGAAGTATAATTTCCATCGTGAGAGAAACGCTGGTCTGACTTTCCTCTGCTCTGGTGAGACCAGACTGTGTGCTGTGCTCCACAGTTTAAAAGGAGCATTGAGAAGGTGGAGCAAAATGCCTTGGGGAGGAGAGAGGGTGAGGGGCCCACTAAGAAGTGCAGACAGTCCTCTATCACTGGAGAGCTTCAAGTAGAGACTCCAAGTCGCCCTCTGGCTGGGGATGGCACACAGAGGATTTGTGTTTTGGGGAGGGTTTGGCCTAAATGACTTCTGAGGTTCCTTTAAACTCTAGAATTTTATGACTTCCAAAACTGCAATTATTAGTAGTTAAATGAACTATGAAGTAGAGATTTGAACAGAAAAAGACTATTTTATTCTCAAATATCAGTATCCAGAATTCCAAACGTCCCAAATGAGGAAGGAATTGTTCATATTTAACAAATAATCCTAGTAGATGCTTTCAGTGCCTCAGTAGAAAGACAGGCCTATACTTCGATAAAGTGAACATTCGATAAAGTAACATTATTTTTATGGCCTTCCTTTGTCACTCTATAAGCAACAGAGTCTATGCGGAAGTGAAGTTAGGAACAGACTGACTTAATTAGAAGGGGAGTTTCCTTCCCCCAAGAATGGAACAAGTGCCTGTGATTAAAGTGAAGACGACTTTGGTTATTTACCCCATTTGATGTGATGTGAGGTAAGAGATCTGTCATTCTAGAGATTGGAAGAGACTTCTTGGTTGATTCTTGGGAATTTGTTAACTTCATGAAATGAATGGCGTAGCAGAATACCAAAACAGTAGTATACAAAAGCTGGGAAAAAAAGAAAAAAGTGAATTTCATGAATTTAAATAAAATGGTTTTTCAAACTAAAGTAAGATCAAGTTGCTGCATCTGTTAAATTTAACTTCAAATGCTAATCAAGAAATAAAATTGCCATTGAAGATTCCATAGAATTTTTCATCCAGTGATCATCAATCATACATTTTCATCCAGTTTTATCGATAAAATGTTCACTTCAATAGAGAACTGCTATATCCAACAGAGAAGAACATGGCCACCGTTCAATAGCACCCAGGAACATTACAGAACAGTGAGAAATGTCCTAACTTTTGCTTAGCCAAAGTGACATGAGTAACTTTCTGACAATACTACTACTCAACACTCCATAGCAATATAAGATAACAGACAAACTAGATTAGTGTTTGGACTGGGTAGTATAGTTACAACACCAAAAAGTACATTGTGGGCATTCACAATTGCTCTGTCTTTTCAGTACCTGATTGTACTGAGGCCTGGGGATTTTCTACCTTTATATGAGTGCTTTTCATAAATTCCGGAAATCTGTGGAATTTATGATTACAAAAAGGACTCCACAAATGCTTTGTTTGCAGAGAAGCTGCCAGCCCTCTCCTCTCCTCTCAAGTACACAGTTGGCAGGATGGGAGGAGGACTGATAAGAAAGGTCCCTTCTCCCTCCACCCATCCTGGAAACAAAGACCAGCGACAGAGGCCAGCCAGGAGGTGCAGGCAGGAGTGTTTGTTCTCAGGCTGGGTGAGGGGACAGAAAGAACGTTTTCATAAGTGCCCACTTGTCTCCTTTCCCCACTGAGAACAGAACCGAATGGCAGCTCTCAGAATAGGGGCACTATTTCCATCTCTTCCTTTCTTATGGAGAACACCAGTGATGCCCCTCATGCAATGGAGGGAGAAGTCTCAGCCAAAAAAAAGAGAAAAACTGTCCCCCCACAACAGGTTTTTTTGCTTCACCCAACCTTAACAAAAGAATCTCTAATCAATTCTTAAGGACAAGAAGCTTGAACATGGGAAAAATATGATAAAGAGAAAATTCCTGCCCTTCTACCTTTCTATTATCTTAGAGACTGATGCAGCTTTACTAAAAGTATCACAAGTGTTCACAATGGTGGGCAGCAATTCCCCTTGGCCAGGAACCATAGAGAAGTGGGCAAAAGCTATGAACACTTGAAATATAATGTATCTTAATTACTGTATATTTTACTAAACATTTGCTACTAATACTTGGGAACAAGTAAGATAATTAGTTTGAGGAAAGGAAGGAGGTAGGTTAGTGAAAGTGAGGTTATATTACTGTAGTGGGCAGGGGTGGAGGTGGTGGTGGTTTCACTATTATACTAAAGTGTGATGCTTCTTTCTGGACTTACAGAGCAACCTAGTAGAATCTCTGAAATGAATTTTAAATGGGGGAGAAAGGAAAATTGGGACCCTGGGAAGGCTTCCTGCAAAGGAGTGAACTCAGAATCAGGTCTTATTTAACTGCTTAATGAATTGGCACACAGCCTGTGTAAGGACTGAAACAAGCAAGAAGACTAAGCCTTCCCTAAAAACAGTTTTATATGCCAGGGGGTGGTCCTGTCCAAGAGAGCTATTCAAGGAACTGCATCACAAAAATGAAGAACAGTACTAAAGCTTTGCCATTTCTAATCGAGCAGGATCAATCAAACTATAAACAAATATCTATTAAATGCCTACTGTGCGCAGGGCCTCAGGGTAAGTACCACGGACAATACAAATGGTCTTTGCCCTCAGGGAAGGGCTGAAGTTGAGGAGTCAGAGCTCATACACATTAAAAAGATAACAAAGTAAATTAAAACATAGTAGATGATAGGTGTCAAATGAGTGATAGAGGCAATCCATGCTACAGCTCACAGAAGGCCAGAGCTCACCGGGGACTGCAATGGTTAAACAGGCTTTGTAGAAAAGGCAGAACCTAAGTGACACCTTGAAGAAGGATGAAGAGGGTCAGGGAAGCCAATTGCCAGAGGGTCATCTTCTGCATCCCATATTCATGTTCTTCAAATTCTTTCAGCATATATTTCTTGGTCAACTGTGGTCAAAAAAGTATTTTCCTGGGATCACAAGCTAATTCACAGGCTAATGGATCTAACATCTCAATTGGTCAAAGACTGATTTTTGCCCACCAATTTTCCATTTTCAAAACTAATAACTCTTCAATTTTTTTTAATCAAAGTTAGTTTTTTAATTTTGTAATTTTCTATTTGCATTAGGTATAAATTATAAAGCCAAGATACAAGGGGTATTTTTTAAAAAACCTAATTTTGGCTCACAATTACCAAACTTCTGTAGCCTCAGTAGCATGGTGCCTTGGGCAAAGTAAGTGCTTAATGAATGTCTTCTGAATTAAACCCAATACTTTGCCATTTTATCAATAAATATAGATGAAATTGAAATTATTATTCAAAATATTATAATAAATGTCTTCCCATGTACTGGTCAAAAACTTTCCAAATGTTTGTGGGATAAGCAGCGCAATTTAAGATTTAAAATTAATAAAATCAGAATGCACCCTAAGGAAAAAAGTTTACAGTAAGGGTACACAGATTTAGAAAAATCTTAGGTCAACTAATTATTAAAGACAAGGTTTAAGATGAGGATAAAACTAACTTGTAAGAAGTTCTACCTAATTCATAAGAACTTGTGCAAAACCCCAAAAAAGAAACATAAATTCAATCTGATTCTTTCCCTCTCCATCAGGCTTACTGTTTTCAAAAGAAAAACTCACTACAAAATATCAGTCTGGTACAGACATTCCCAAGATGATCTAGAAGTATTTTACAAAAAGGCATATTCTTCTTGCTTGTTTCAGCTCTTGCACTGGCTATGTGCCTATTCATTAAGTGGTTAAATAAGACCTGATTCTAAGTTCACTGCTTTGCAGGAAGCTTCTCAGGGTCCCTATTTCCCTTTCTCCCCTATTTAAAATTCCTAAACAGGCCAGGCTTACTAAGGCCTGTTTACTAAGAAGCACCTGGAATCTCTGTGCTTCCATTGCAAGCCCATAGAGGTAACAGCCAAAGATGAAATAGTAACAAAACTAACAGTCTAACATTTCTATGAGGACACAGACTATTTATTTAAATCAATTAAAAGAATAAATGACATGAAAAAAGAAGAGAATTTTTAAAAATGGCTATTATATAAAAATCTAAAAAGCTATGAACTTTACCTGGGCCAAAGAAAAGATGTAAAGTCCCCAGTGAGGCAACCACACGACTAAAACAGCTGTCAAAATACATCTGAGGATTATTGACAAACTTTCAGCAACCACCTGCAAAAACATTTTTAAAAGATTAACCTTAGCCTAAAACTAAATAGAACAGCTAGAAAAATCTGAGAAGCTCACACAAACTTCTTATATACTTATTTACAATATTACTTTGCTTATTAAACCAGTTCTTCATAAATCATAATAGTAAGTCAATTTTGGCCTAGCCCTCTTCTAAGACATCAAATGAGTAGAATCCAACTTAATGAACTTTACCTGTACCATACTGATATCTTCTTTCCTGACTTCATTTAAGCACAGAACTACAAAAATCCCTCTCTCCCCAAAGTAATCTTTTCTCTTCCTTTTGGCATTCTGTTCATACTGTCATAGTAGACCATGTACTAACCTTAAGCCTGACCAACATATGTGTTTGTGCTAAGACCCACAAAGGTTCTCCTAAGAGTTCAACCACTGCAGAGAGACCAAATGCTGCCACTCCAACTCCGTAACTGGGTACTACATTAGGATCAGGCACTTCGAGGATCTGAGACCAGACCCAACCCAGGAACAAGGACCAAAACAAACCCAAGGGGACTCTAAAAGAAAATTTAAACATCTGCATTAAGGAAATTCAATATTATCATAAATTTATAATACAAATTTAAAAATCAATATAACCTATATAAGAAATTCAGCTGTATTAACTAATTACATTAACTTCCCAAGATATACCTGAAAATTAAAAATGCTAGAAAAATTTTGGTCTTGTGACTTACGGGGTATGTGGAAATGACCAAAAACATTATTAAATACAAAATCCTAGGAACCCAAAAACATACAATGCATTAAAGCAATCAAAGATGCTCCTTCATCAGACATTCAACTAGCTTCTCTTCTTCCTGCCACAACCTGATGTTCTAAGAAACCACATGTGAAAACTCGATTCACAAACAACCTGGTTTTAATTAAGCAGGAGTTATTATTTAATCAGTTTTCTCAAACAATCAGATATTTCTCTTTTCTCTACCAAATCCCAACTTACGTTAGCCATAAGAGGTTGATTGTTTGGCTCCAATTTCGGTTTGCACTCCCACTCAGGCATGCCCTGCGGAATGCCTCTCTTGCTAAGAAGGTGACAGTTGAGTAAAGCAATGTTAACCTAAAGAAGAAAAACAGGGGGCAGCATGAGCATGCTTGTTTCTTCACAATAATAATTCCTAGGCCTTTGCCAGTACCATGACAAGATAAGATTTTGTTACAACTGGTGAAGTGTAGAGGAGAAGATAGTTGTCATCACCAGAATTTTTCCAGAGGCCACATCCAGGTGTGCATCAAGACAAAGTATATACATGAGAGTTTTGTACACACCTATATAGACCATGGTCAGCTTTAAGACTCAAGGTAAGTCCAGGGCTATTCAACAGCCTGCTGACATCATGGCCGTGGGAAAAGATGTCTTGGAGTATGAAGAGGTAAAGGACACCACCATGTCAGCTCTCTGGCTCTCGTGCCAACGGGAGTGTACCTGATGCTTTGTTTAGCAGGGAGACTACAGAATCAGAGTGACACTCTGGACAGGTATTTAAACTATCAATTAGAATGAGATTAGTACAATTCAATTTAGTAGTAAGCCTTTACTGAGCTAAAGACTGAACTAAGTGCTGTGGGGAATACAACAAAGTCCTTGTCTACACCTAAAAGTATCTTTGGCTTCTTTTCCGTAATAGAGGGAGAGGGTAGCAAAAGCTAGGATGGCAGAAGAGCAGTTCTCTTCAGAAGCATGCTATCCTTTAGCAAAGCCAAAGGAAGATTATGCCACAGTAACAAAAGTGGAGACAGAGCCACTCTAAAGACTATTTTATTCCAATTGTTCCTCAGTTACTCATCATAATGACCTAAAAAAGGTGACAGATTAGCTACTTGACCCGGTGATTAACCAAATCCCTGTCCTTCCCCACAGCAGAAATCACTCCTCATGGGCCTTCTTCCACATGTTCATACTGAATCACCCTCCTCCCCTTCACAAACCCCCTAGGGGGCTCTGAAAGCACACAAAACAGAACACCTGGCAGGGAAAACAATCCATGTGCCCATTCAAACTAAAATCAATTATCTTCTCAGCTACTCCAGTCGTGGCTTTTCCATACCACAACAGTAAAGCAAACAAAGACACCACCACAACATAAAAATTGACAAAGAAAGGCACATGAGCTGCTCCTAAATAAGATGACAGGCTGTTATAAAGTCTAAGGAAAAACACAACTAGAGACACTGGGTATGGGCAACGCTAAAGTACGTCTCTATTTACCTCACATTTACTATTCCAATGATCTCTTTTGAAAGAAACCGAAGTGTAAATGCATTCAAACCGAAGGTAATCAAACGAAACAAGACCTACAAAACAAAGAAATGTCAGAATAGAATCCTAATAATGTTGACATTCCTGCCATATGAGCAAAGATACAATCTCACTTAAACCATGTAAATAACATACAATGGATTTACATAATATTGCAACTGGATTTTCATTTTCTTCTTAAACAGCCCTATGAAGAGGTATGAAAAGGTGCCCTGGAAGGTATTTTATACCATTCCCAATGTACAGAAAAGATCATCATAGGGATATTAAGTGGTTATTTTCAGGTAAAAAGGAAGGCAAGTAAGAGAAAACCTAGTTTTGGAACCATACTGGCATTCCCTCTAACTGGAAAGTTGTATTCTGTTTATAAATATAATACATATAGAACCTGAGATACAGTAGGGTTCAGCCAACTCAGTACAAGAAATATGGAAATCACTGGGTTGGTGTGGCTACAGTTTCATTTAATGAGTCTGATGAGCCACTTCATATGTTTTTTACTTCAAACTGCCCATTTGTAAAAATAGGGATTTGGAATATCTCAATCTTTCTAACTCAATACTCGGCAATGATTTAACTCATTTCATTCTTAAGATGAAATAAATCAAATCTTTTGAAAATTTTAGGAGAAAGGTATGACAATTAAAGCAAAGTAACATACCATCGTTGCTTAAAAGCCTTTAATGAAAGAGTAGGTATCTGAGGATAGTGAAAAAAGCACTGGGAAAGGCAACATGCTGTGGTAGATAAGCAAGGTGACTCCAGAACCAGGAAGACCTGGGTTCAATTCCTAACTCTGACACACAAATTACAAAGTCTGACTAAACAAATAAGCAGATAAATAAATAAATGAGTTAAGGGTAATAACTTTTTCACTATCTCCTCTTCAACAAATCACTTATCTCTGTGCTTCAGTTCCCTTATTTGTAAAATAGGGCAAATAAATGTCCTGATTCCTTTACTGGGTTATTACTCAGTTAAATACCAGATGTGAGAGTAATTTGAAAAAGTTAAAAGCACTACAAAAATGAAGTGTTACTATCTTCCCTCTTTCTCTCCCCCACCCTCCCACCCCCAACTAGTGGAAATCATGCATCTATAATCTATTTCCAAAGTCAAATAAGATTTTCATGGAAATTCGAGGCTTTGAGGAACACAGGAGCTAAATAACTTGTAGGTACAAAGAAAGCAAGAGATAGCATTGCATAATCTTCTCAATCTATATGCACATGATAGAAGGGGAGATGATGCCTTCTGCCTAATGCTGGTTAGTGTGTCCTTGTACCATTTGTGCCTTGATAGTGTCTTTTAAATATTTACCTTGTACCTCTCGATCTAAGAAACAAACCGTAATCAAATGTTTATTAAACAACTTGGCACAAAGCACTGCACAGGGTGTTCTATAAACAACAACTTACTATGTTAAGATGGGTAAATCTAGGACAAGATGTAAACACACATTAATAAAGAAAAGGAATGTGAAAGAAAGGAAACAAAGGCAGCTTGGTGTAGCTGAACAAGTACTGGATCCAGTCAGGGGACTTTGGGGGCAAATCATCTTCAGGCCTCATATTTTGAAGGTATAGGAGAAGATGATTTCTAAGGTCCTTTCTGGCTCTAAAACCTATGATAAAAAACAATAAACAAATACAACAAACATGGTTCTTACAACTCTTTATGTGTTTAGAGGTACATGGGATGGTTCGACTTGTGTTTTCCACTTAAAACTTTTATTCATCTGATTGAATTGGCAATTTAAAAACCTCACACAATCCTTTAAGTATCTACGGTGTTTATTTTTTAATCCATGGGTTCATCTGATTTTCACAACCATTTTACGAGAGTGTCAGGGTAGTGTGGTTTAAAGTTAAAAAAAAAAAACACCTCAGCAAGGCTAAGTTTCCCTCTCAGTTTAAAAGGAGAATAGTGCTTAGTAGTATAGACCCTTCTAAGGTTCTTATAAGATCAAATGAGAAAAGTCTACATAAAGTGCTTTAAGGACTATGTCAATGTTCAACTCTTATAATTCCCATTTTCCAAGGGGAGGAAAGGTGGGGGTCCAGAGACCGGGGTCTGCCATTTCACTTGCTGCCAGCGGCAAATTCCTTTCTTTCTCCATGTAAAATGAGAGGGCTGCAGAACAGAAATTCTAAAGTTCCTTCCAGCTCAGGGTTCTAAGAGATAACAGCTAATTATAATAGCTAACGTTTAGAGAGCACTTACTATGTGCCAGGCTTTACAATTATTATCTTATTTGCTCCTCACAACAATCTTGGGAGGCAGGTGCTATTATTATTCCTATTTACAGATGAGTTAACAGAGACGGGCAGAGGGGAAGTGACTTGCCCAGGGTCACACAGCTAGTACGTGTCTGAGGCCGAATTTGAACTCAGATCTTCCTGACTCCAGGTCTGGCACTTGCACCACCAGCTGCCCCGACAAGGGCACTGAGGCCCCAAATGGGGAAAGGGCTTGCTCCACGAATGGAACCCAGGCATCCCAGCTCGTTCGAAGGCTATCCCCCGCTCCCTCCCTGCCAAGAGAAACCGGGGAAGGCGGAGAGAGGCCCCGGGCCCGGCTCCCGGGGATGCTCAGGCCGGCCCAGCAGGGTCGGACAAGGGGCAAGGCGAGGAGGCGCCTCAGCGTCCTGGGGCGGCGCGCAATACCTGCAGCAGAAGCCCCGAGGAGGCGAGCCGGGCGGCCTGGCCCAGCACGTCCGGCCCAGCCGGAGGCTTCGGGCCTCTGGGCACCTCCAGGCCGTGCATCCTCTCCGCGTCCCCGGGCCGGCAGTTAACAGGAAACACCGTGCGCCGCCCGCGCCCCGCCCTTCTTCCGTCGCGCGGAGATGGCGTCACGTAGCGGTCGGCCCTCTGATTGGCGAAGACCGCGAAGGGGGGGCGGGTCCGGGTTCCTCAGAGCGCCTGCGCGGGTTTTCTTCGAGCAAGAGGCCGTTGGGGTTGTATCGTCCTTCTCCTTAACGGAGGAGTAGTCCGAGGCTCTGAGACTCCGCAAAGCCACGTAGACAATTAGGAGTAGAGCTGGGATGTGATCCCAGGGCTTCTGGTTCCAAATCCAGCCCTCTTGCCAAACACCATAATGTCTTCCTTTGCCTTTGTTCCTCCTCACTCTGCTGCCAATCCAGGAGTCCTGCCTGAAGGAGGGCCCACAGGGCAGACAGCCAGAAACCACGGCCAGAGAGTGTGATGTGTGTGGGGTGAGGGTCAGCAACTGGACCTGTAATTTCAGTGATTTTGGGAGCTCCCAGAGGAGGAAATTACCTCTACCAATGCGGGTAGAAACCTTTTCTTCAACTTCGAGTCTTACAGTTACCTAGCAGAGGGATTCTCCAAGGGGTCTCAGGACCTCTAGGATCTCCTAGACACCTGACAGGGCTTCCTTGAGGCCAAAACGATTTTCCATAATAATATTAAAACATTACTTACCTATTAAAGTGCTCCGCTATTTTCCAACTACCTATCTGTGGGAGACCAGATTTTCTTCATACACTTCAACCAAAACAACATAGTGCAAACATATAAAGAATCAAACCAGACATTCAAGAGATTTGCACAAATATATAGAATGATTCCATTCTCACTGAATTTTTTTGTTTTGGAAAATGTGTTTTCACAAAAATAGATATTTTTAAAAATTTTATTAATTTGTTTTGATTTATCAACAATCACTTCCATATGCTTTTGAATTTAAAATTTTTTCTCCCCCTTCCTTCCCACCACCCACCCCAAGATGGTGCACAATCTGATATAGGCTACACGTTTACATTCCTATTAAACATATTTTCACATTAGTGAAGTTGTAAGTAAAAATTAAAACCAATAGGAGGAACCATCAGAAAGAGGAAACAAAACTCAACAGAAGGTAAAAATAAGTGATAGCGATTCAACTTCCATAGTTCTTTCTTTGGATGTGGACAGCATTTTCTATCACGAGGCCTCTGGAGATATCTTAGATCCTCATAATGCTGAGAAGGGTTAAGTTTATCAATATTAGTCATCGCACAACATGGCTGTTATTGTGTACAAAGTTCTCTTGGTTCTGCTCATTTCACTCAGCATCAGACCATAACAAGTCTTTCCAGGTTTTTCTGAAGTCAGCCTGTTCATCATTTCTTATAGCACAATAGTATTCCATTACATTCATATACCACAACTTGTTCAGCCATTCCCCAATTGATGGGCATCCTCTCAATTTCCAATTCTTTGTCACCACAAAAAAAGCTGCTATGAATATTTTTGTATGTGTGGGTCCTTTTCCCATTTGTGTGATCTCTTCAGGATATAGCCCTAGAAATGCTATTGCTGGATCAAAGGGCATGCACATTTTTATAGGCCTTTGGGCATAGTTCCAAATTGTTCTCCAAAATGGTTGGATCATTTCACAACTCCACCAACAATGCATTAGTGTTCCAAACAAAAATAGATATTTTTAAAACCTGTAATAGCTGTATTATTTTTAAATGAATATCTATTCCTATGACTTTTAATTTCTCATATGGTAACTATCAGTAGATATAATCCACTTAAGCAAAAGCTATTTGGGGTCCTCAATAATTAATAAGTGTAAAGGGGTCCCTTGAGCAAAATGTTGATAACCACTGGCCTGAGTGTTCAGAGCCACCCAGTCAGTTTATGGCAGAGAAGAGACCTGAACCTGTGTCTTAGCCTTGAAGCCATCTCTCCCCCAGGCCATACTACCTCTGCAGGAGAGTAGTTGATGCTCTAGCAGGTGCCAAGTGGCAAAGTCCATGTTCTGCTAAGGATGTGGGTGCCAACTGCTCCATCAGCCTCACTGTCCTCATCTCCCAGCACTGATCTACAGGCAGCACTAGTAACTGGTCAAGGTCATCAAACTGAAGAACCTGGAGCTAAGACCTCTAGGCAGATCAGACCCTCAGATGAAGATGCTGTAAGCCCTGAGAGTCCTCGTCAAACTGGCAGACATGATATAATCCACAAATGTCCTCCTTCCCAAGCTGCCTGCAGTAAGAGGGAACAAAATGGAGTAGAGCAGGGGAGTAGAATAAGTGATGTGATGGGAGTGACATTGATCAATAAGCATTTATTAAGCACATACTACTATTCTGTGCCAAGTGTTGTGCTGGGGATACAAAAAAAGCTGAAAAAGTAGTTCCTTTTCCCAAGAAGCTCACAGGCTAACTCTGGTGGGGGGTGATGACAACATGACAACAACTATATTCAAACAACATTTGTTGTTGTTTAGTCCGACTCTTTGTGATCCCATTTGTGCTGCTGCTGTTGTCATTTTTGGGGTTTTTTTTGCAAAGATACTGGAGTGGTTTGCCATTTTACAGATGAGAAAACTGACATAAATTGAGTTAATTGACTTGTCCAGCTAGTAAGTGAGGCCACATTTGAACTCAGGTCCTCCTGACTCCAGGGCCAGTACTCTCTCCACTCTGCCCCCCTAGCTCCCCTCAGACCACAATATACAGGGAAAATTGGGGATAGTCTCAGAGGGAAGGCACTAAGATTAAGGGGGACAGAAAAAGGTGAGACTTTAGCTGAGACTCTAAGCCAGGAAAGTCAAAAGGCAGAGAAGAGGAAGGAGGGAATTTCAGGCATGAGGCCAGAGCCAGAGAAAATGCTTGGAATCAAGAGATGAGTGTGTGAGGAGAAGCAATGAGGCCAGTGTCCTAGATCAAAGAGTACAAGGTAAGGTGTGAGATTGGAAATGTAGGAAGGAAATGGAAATGTTACAAAGGGTTTTAAAAGCCAAACAGGGGATTTCATATTTAAATCTAGAAGTAATAGGGAGTCCCTGGAATTTATTGAATGGAGTCGGTGGGGGGTGGGGGTGGGGCACAATGAGACCAGAGGTCAGCAAAGAAATTTGAGTTGTACAAATAGATTTGAGAATCATCTACATAAAGATGATAATTGAAACATGTCTGATGAGATCACCAAATGAAAATGTATAGAGGGAGAAAGGAAGAAGATCCAGGACAGAGGCTTGGGAGGACACCCATGGTTAGCAGGTGTGACCTGGATGAAAATCCAGCAAAAGAAACTGAGGAGAGGTCAGACAGGTAGGAAGAGAACCAGGTATGAGTAAAGCCTGGGGACTAGGTGATCCCAGCTGTTACTAGCCTTTGAACCAGGCAGACTAAAGCTTTGATCAGTGAGGAGACATTGGGGTCCAAAGTGATGTCCCCCCTCTCCCCAAACCAGCCTTACCCTAGAGCTTTGTGCAGCCACTCTGGGCGTGAACCCCTACAAACCTATGGAATACTGCCTGATTTTAAGCAGCCACAACTAGGAAACTTACTCATCCAGAACGCAGCCAACAGGAGTTGAACAAGCAGTCATCCAGACTGTGATAGCCCTAGGCCTGAGAACTCCGACATGATCCAAGGCAGACTGGATCCAGACAGACTGAAGGGCCCAAGGGCTGAGCATGTTTTCACAGAGAAGGTGCTGAAATGTAAGAAACTATAAGACTTTGTATCTTCTTATCCTGTAGAGCTCTTATTCAATTGTAAAGCTACCTTAGGGGAGCCATCCAAGGGGTTGGAGACCTTCCTCTAGATTCTTGACCATTGTGCGGATACTAGTTTTTTGTTTTTTGTTTTGGTGAGGCAATTGGGGTTAAGTGACTCACCCGAGGTCACACAGCTAGTAAGTGTCAAGTGTCAGGTCAGATTTGAACTCAGGTCCTCCTGACTCCAAGGCCGGAGCCTTATCCACTGTGCCACCTAGCTGCCCCCATTGTGGGGATACTAGTTGAGCAGGACTACATAGTCAACTACACAACTAACCTACCTCCTTTTCCAACACCTTAATGACATCCTTATATAACTCCTCCTGCACACAATAAGCAGAGCCCAGAATTGAAGAGCAGGGCAAGATGAACCACCTCTAGAACGTTGCTCACTACTCTTAATGACTCTAAGATTCTCCCCGAAATGATGGCTCATCTTGTTAGCATTAATAGTCTTCCAATGACTATGACTGTCGGTCATGGAATACCACAGTTTATGAGGAATTAAAGTTAGGGGTCACTTGAGGTCAGTGAAGAATGGCTAGCATGAGTGAATGAGCTACAACACATTACCAAAGAAGACTTGCACAAGAGAAGTGGCCTTGCCCTGATATCCATGAAATATCAAAAGAGCTAGAGGGAGGCCTTCAATCTGGTGGGTAGGTCCTACGTGGATGACTTGTAGAAAGAAGTTAGCAAGAATTGCACTGTTTGAGAGGGCATGTAGGGGTTGCCCTCTGAACCATGGGAGGAAGCACCATGTACAGAAGATCACAGATCTATAGTAAAAATCAAAATCTGGGCCTTAGCTCCCCGTAGCAGAAGGAGCACTGGGCTGGAAGTAAGGACATTTGGGCTACTTCTGTATAACCCCTACATTGTTCAGCACAGGACCGAGCACAGAGGAGACACTCAATACATGCTTGCCTGGAAAATTTGAGGTTGCACTAGATCTCAAACCAGCTGCAAGGGAAAGCTTACGATACCCTCCCCTCTACCCTCACCTAAGCAGCCCTTTCTCCCTTTGTTCAGATTCATTCATTCATGCAATAAACATTCAGTTCCTACTGTGTGCACATCACATAATAGGCAGTGGAGAAAGCCCCAAATTTCAATAAAGGATGCTTTCTTGCTTTCATGAATTTAATGGCCTAAATGTGCATATTAATGTACTGATGGTGATGAAGTGAATTGATCCAGCCATTTTAGAAAGCAATTTGGAATGTGCTAAGGCCCAGATTTTGATTTTTACCATAGATCTGTGATCTTCTTCACAAGGTGCT